AGAGAGTTTTCTTAGGAGGAGCTTTAATCTTGATAAAAATGGATTGACAGGATTTGTCCAATCTACTAAATTTAAGTATTATGAAGAAATATTTCTTTTAATAAAAAAAAAGGGCTAAATTGAAAACCCTCAAATGACGATTTAAATAAAAAAAAGGGCTTAAATTGAAAACTCGTAAAGGGTAATTTAAATAGAAAAAAAAGCTCAAATTGAATACCCATAAAGTGCGATTTAAGTCAAGGAAGGATATCTAAGTTGAAAACCTGAAAAGACAGTTTAGAGAATCAAAACATCACTTTCATAGCACAAAGGACAAGTGTTATTTGATAAACTCGAAAGGATCAAGGACTTTAGTTGGATGGTTTTTGAGAAAAACCCTAAGCTGCTTTAATCATGATTATCTGATAGCCCACTTAAGCCCATCTTTGTAACCCATTTCCAGGATTATTTATTCACTCAATGAAATTCATATTTTTCTTAATATCAACACTTACCTCTTTTATGTTGCTTCCATTTTTTTTCCACATATCCCTCACCTTGGTTAGAAGAAATGTGCAATTGCTTTACATCTATCATTATATTAAAATGATAATGAATGAACAAATAATAATATGAAAATTTTTTTCATTACTTTGGAAAGCTAAAAGTGGCATGGGCAAGTAAAATAAAGGCAATGGAACCTAGTGGAATGTTGATATCAATTTTACTGAAACTAAAAGATGAGGTTGATTTGATTCATTAGTCAATTATGCTCAGAAGTTTAATTATCCATAACTGACGAGTAAACGAAAACAAAAAAGGGCTTGAGAATATTTTTACCATAATTAAATAACCTTGGTATGTCATAACAATTCATGTATATATTTAAGAAAAATTAGCATTTCATAGCATTTCGTGTGCGCATGTTAGGAAATTTGCTTTTATTACAAAAATGTTTCAAAATCGTAGCTGATTGAAATTTTCAAGAATGAAGTGGCAGTTGTTCAAATTTTGGTATAACTTACACTATTGTGTTTTTGTCTTAGTCCAGATTGTTTACTTTTAGACTTCGATTCAATTCAGATCATTTTATTTTTGGATTTTGGCCTATGCCAGATCCTTCTTCAACTTAGTCTAAGTTATTCATTTTAAACTTCGATTCAATCCAGGTCATTTTGCTTTTAGATTTTAGCTCATGTCATATCCTTCTTCAGTTTAGTCCAAATTATTCATTTTAGACTTTAGTTCGATTCAGGTCATTTTGTTTTCGAATTTCAGCTTATGTCAGATCTTTTTTTGGCTTTGTCTAAGTTATTCATTTTAGTTCGATCCAGTCATTTTGTTTTCAGATTTCAGCTTATGTTAGATCTCTTTTCGACTTAGTCCAAGTTATTCATTTTAGACTTCGGTTCAATTTAGGTCATTATGTTTTCAGATTTTAGCTTATGCCAAATCTTTTTTGACTTAGTCCAAGGTGTTCATTTTTTACTCCAGTTCAATCCAAATTGTCCTGTCTTAAACTTTGGATTAGTTCGGGTCATTTCATTTTTAGACTCGATTCAATTTACACTAAATTATTTTTATTATTATTTTTTTTGAGTAAAGTCATGATGGATGTCTACGTCTTTGCATAATTTTGTTTCATAGAAAGAATGCAAAGAGTGATAATTATAGATACTCATTTTTCAAACTTTGGTTTTTTAATTTGATGTGTTTCAAATAAGGTCAATAAAACTAAAAAAAAAGTTTTAGTCCTAACAGAACTCTAAGATAAGGAGTTTGTATTTTGAAATTAGGCTGATAAGAGGTTTCCTGGGGAATCAAAATAAAAGGGATGAATGAATAAATTTTTTTTTAAAAAGATGATTTTTAGTTTTTTTTTTTTTTAAATTTGTTGACTGATTTGGGGCTTAGTCTTTGCAATTTAATCCATATATAAATGATTGATCACACATACAAAATGGGGAAAAAATAGTCAAAAAGGGTAAAACAAAAATTTTTTCAAAAAAGTTATAGTTTTTTTGAAAAAGGTTTTTTTAGATTTTTTTTTATTGTGAGGTTGGATTAAAGCCCAGGTAGTGTTTTGAAAATCTCACGAAGTAGAATAGTGATTAGATTTTTCAAGGATTTTTTTGCATTTTTTGGGGAAATTTTGGAAATTCTAGAATTCGATAAAGTTTCACAATGAACTTGAATTTTTCGATAAGAAAACCTAGATTTCAGCATTTGTTCTCCAAAAACTGATGAAATTCAATGGTATTCTTCATTTTCTAGAGAGAAAGAGCAATGAAGCATTTGAAAGGAAAAAATAAAACTTTTACCTTTTATATCGGTGAAAAATGGTGTCGTTTTAGACTTTAAAAGTAGGCAGGATATCACCCAAGGTCTTACTTGACCCACAATGGCTTGATCTGCCTGCTCATTTCATTGAGCCGTTGTTGAGCCGTGGGGTAGAGCCATACATCGAGTCGCTTCAACCTGAATCTATCTTTGAAGCCGAGCCAAAGTATGATAATTTTTTTTCTTTTCTTTTACCTATTTTATTTATTTATTTTTGTTTACCTTTCATAAATCAATAGCATTTATTCAATTATGTATAAGTTTTTTTTTATGAGTTTTTTTTAAAAGAATTAAAATGTGAGGAAAAAAGTATTAATTTTTTTACAATTAAAAATGATAAAAATATTTCAAAAAAATACTTTTTGAAGAAAAAAATTCAAAAAAATATTTTCTTAGGAAAGATTGAAATATCAATTTTCCTAAAAAGTAAAATTTTTAAGAAAAATATTTTTTTTGAGAAAAGTTAAAAGTATCAATTTTTTTAAAAATAAAAAATAAAAAATATTTTTAAAGAAAAGTTAAAAATATCAATTTTCCTTAGAAAATAAAATTTTTTTCAAAAAAATGTATTTCAAAAGAAATATTTTTAAGGAAAAGTTGAAAGTATCAATTTTTCTTAAATAAAAATTAAAAAAAAAGGAAAAATTGAAAGTACTAATTTTTTTTAAATAAAAAAATAAAAAAATTTTAAGAAAAAGTTAAAAGTATCAATTTTTTAAATAAAAAAATAAAAAAAGGTTTTAAGGAAAAAATATCAATTTTTCTTATAAAATAAAAATTTTTCAAAAATATATTTCAAAAGAAATGTTTTTACGAAAAAAGTTAAAAGTATTAATTTACTTTAAATAAAAATCTTCTCGATTTCAAAAAAATGTATTTGAAAAAAATTGAAAAGTATCAATTTTTTTTTAAATAAAGTACTAATTTTTTTAAATAAAATAAGAAAAAAATATTAGACAAAAGTTGAAGTATTAATTTTTTGCTTAGAATTTTTTTTACTGTTAAATAATTTGACGACAGAGCTTCTGCAAAAGAAATAATAGTTTTTTTTTTATATCCTCTTGATGTAAAGAAATTTTTTTTAATTTTTTTTCAAAGTATTGGAGTTAATTAAGGATAATTCTCAATAATTAATTATTTGATAAAATTTTAAAGCTTAATGGATAATACGAAATCAAGCGGATACCATCCTTTGATGAACGTTATGAGAGTGTTTGTTATAACATTCTTTACACGTAATCGTATTCTCGAATTTAATTCTAGTTTCATAAATATTGAACTTACCTTTTAAAGATACCCGAGTCAAGTTTGAGATTTTTATTTAAAATGTGATAGATTCAGTTAAGTAACCAATTACATCTAGAAAAAATTGTTAGTGACATTTTAAATCAACATCTAGCAATAGATCATTGATCTATTTGTTATGACATTGATAGTTAATAAATTTTTATCTAATAAATATTTAATAGATAAAAATAAATATTTGATGGTTTAATTTATGGTAATAAAATGATAAGATTTTGATGATTATTTAATTTTAATTCAAAAAATTTTTATACTTATGCCATAAAACAATTAATTTAATATATTTTGAAGGATATATAAGTGTCCTTTTTTATTTACACGATATTATTATAGATAATATAAATAAATGGATAAAAAAAAACTATACTCTTTATTATTTGCATTTAGTATGACAAATTACCTAGTAAGCTTTTTTATATTGTGACAGATAAATTTGATGCTATGAGTTTATTACTTTTTTCCTTTTTGTATAATAGATATCCTAAACTTTCCTTAGATTTAATTTGTTTTCTTAGTGATGCATTCTCTTACATCTATATACATCTACATTCAAGATGTTATTTATTTATTTATATAAAAATCGAACACTGTTTAATAAAAAGGGAAAACTTTCCTCTCATCCACAGGACTGGTGTAAATTTGATCCACAATTATGCCCATTTTTTTGACATAAATGAGTTTTTTGTTTAATTATATTATTGAAAATAAATGGATACGATGAGCAAATAATTAATATTAGAAATATTTATAGATTGAATCAGATCAAATCGGTCAATCTTTTAAAGGTTTTGTTTAAGGTAAATTTAAAAAAAGATTTTTTTGAACTATTAAAATATTAATATCTTAATATTTTTAAATATATTTAAATTAAAATTAAATTAAAAAAATTATAAATAATTTAATATTTTAAATCAAATCAATCTCAGCCTAAAAATCCCTATCTAAAGATCAACATGAGTGCCGTGGCCAGTGAGTAAGGATGTAGCTGTATCAAGTTTTTGGAAAAGCACATTAAATATTTAAATATGAGAGTTTGATCTAGTCAAAGGAAAATAATATATCTTTGATTGGATAAAGAAAATTATAATTTGGTCAAGATGGAAATATGCGAATTGTAGTCATAGTATTAAAACTTAAACATATTTATATTTATTTTTTTTTAGTAGTAGTATTTGATTTGCTGGCTGGTCAGCATCAAGGCAAACGGCAGCGATGCCTCTGTAGCTGGTAAGAAAACAGACAGACAGGACCCAGGACTTGGGAGGCAGAGCAGAGTCAATTCGTTTACACTCGAAAACAAAAATCTGCTATGAACAAAAAAAAAAAAAAAAAACGCAAAGAAAACAAAAATCTGCATAACTCATTACACACTCAACTCCACCAGCTATAGCCGGCATTTCCTTTTTCTTTTTCTTTAATCAAAACCCATTTGACTCTGCCCAAAACCGTCAAAACATTTTTACCAAATACCCAAAGCACCAAAGCCTCTCATAATTGCTTCTTCTTTAATCTCACTCAGTCTCTTAGTCTCAGGTATTATAATTGTTTGTTATTAGTAAGCTTGGACCCTTAAGCCTGGAGTCAAAATGGGTTCTCAAGAATCAGAAGAAAAGACAGAATGCGAAATGGCAGTGACTCTGCCTTCAACTACGCCAGTGGTGGGGTGCCTAATAAACCCAGCCGTCCGTCTGAAAATCAAAGGCACACCTACTCTTCAAACCCTCCGTCCACATTCTTTCTCTTTCACCTGGTTTTTACCTTCTCCTTTTCTCACTCGTTTCTAATTTTCCCCTGATTTTTATAGTATTAATTTCTTTGTTTCTGTTGTTTGGTTTCTTGGCTTAGAAAATAGAGCAGAGGCAGACTTTTTCTTTCATTGTGGTTAATGTAGTTATTTTTACATTTGATTAAACTGATGACTTAGTAGTTTTGTTATATAAGAAAGAAATAGAAGTGGAACTAAAAAATATTCCGGTTACAGTTTTGACTTTTTCTTGATCATTTACGCTTCTTGGGACATTTATTATTAAAAACAACTTCAATTTCATGTCAAGGCTTTGTTCCCACTAAGTCGTTGTAGATATCTGGTCATTTCTTTAAAATTTCTCATCATATATATATATATATATATATGGTCATTTCTTTAAAATTTCTCATCATATATATATATATGTAAAGTTAGTTGAGTCTTTTTTATCTTGTTTGACTTAGGTTATGTCTCAGAGGTTAGATTCTTTTTATCAGATCAGAGGCTTAGATTAGGTGGGTTGATTTCTATGTTTTCTCAATCACACACAAGAAATTGTGCTTTCAAGATTTCTGTTGTTTTGGAACAAAATTTTCCTATTAGGAAAACCAACCTGGTCATCGATGTTTTAAAACGTTTGTGTTAGAAGTGGGTGTATTTTTTTTGGATGGTAAGGAATATTTGCATGGGTTCTTGTTCATGACCATGACATTTCCCATCATATGATCATGGTGGTGATGGTTTCTAAAATGTAGGTATCGTGAGATGGGTTGCTCTGTCCACCCTTCTAAGTTGGCTACTGTTCTGTGTATGTCCTGTGTAAAACTAGAGATTCCACTCAGTCAGTGTTGCCATTGCTCTCCAATGTGCCTCTTAGATGGGTGGCAAATACATGAGAAGCGTCATTGTCGTGCAGCTAAAATGATAAAACAGCGTACAACTGGTGGTCAAGAAGAATTAATAAGGCTTAGGAGTTGCGGTTCATGGCCAGACTTCAGTAGTGATCAATTACATGGCGAGAATGAATTGGTGGTAGAGCGAGAAAGGAGAGTATGGGTCAAAGTGGGCTCTTCTAAAACTTATGAACCCTCAATGAATGATGTTGGCTTCATTCTTAGGCTAGAATGTTTGGCTGTGGACCATACTGAGGGCATTCAATTGGCTCCAGTCAATATCATAGTGACCGATCCCGTGATTACTTTTCCCCCTCGTTGTCCTCGCTGTATGATTAAAATTAGAAGTTGTCAGAAATCTCACAACATCCATTTCAAACCCCAATCTTCTGATGGTTTAACATTTAGTGTGCTATCATATAATATCCTTGCTGACCTGTATGCTAGCGGGGGTAGGTACAGTTACTGTCCAACATGGGCTCTTGTCTGGGAATACCGCAGGCAGAATTTGCTGCAAGAGATCATTGAATATGATGCTGATATTCTTTGTCTTCAGGAGGTGATTTCTTTCCTGCTATTGTGCATCTTTTTCTAGGATATGCTGTTTGAACACGGGTCCTAGTATGCCTTGCATTATATAACTTCTTAGGCTAATCTAATATTCTTCCACCATTGGCAGGTGCAAAGTGATCATTTTGAAAGTTTTTTTAAACCTGAGCTGATAAAACATGGTTATTCAGTTATGTACAAGAAGAAAAGAACAGAGGTAAATTTTTTGAAACTCTTAACTTTTTGCTGATAATGATACACTGTTAGAAAACGCTTTTAAGCTTTCATGAATAGTTTATATATATATATATATATATATATATATATACTTGCTTTTGGGAACTTAAATGCATAGGAACAGGGCTGAGAAGGGAATACCGTTTGAGCCTTGCTAATAACAGCTATAACTGTATTCATGAGTTATACTTGTAGTTTATTTTGTATCAAATAATTTTTGGTGAATGTTAGTGAAGAAATTCATTGGAATTTTATTTATGAATTCTTGAGAAACTTTCTAGAATACAAGAGTTTATACATAGCTAAAACATCAAATCTGGCAAATCTCATGATATCCTAGAGATAATAACAAATCACCTAAAAATCCTCTAACAATAAATGGAAACTACTAAGTAGGAATTTGATCAATGCACTAAATCTCTTTTATTTAGGAAACAACCAAAATACTAAATGAATGACACCTAATCAAATCTAGTTAGGAATCGGTTTTCCACACTACCCCTCAAGTTGGGTGGTAGATATAAATCATACCCATCTTGGACTTCAAATTCTCGAAATTGCCATGATGAAGAGCTTTGGAGAGGATGTCAGTTGTCTGATGTTCTGTTGGAGTGTAGACCAATTTGCGCCTTTTTCAATCTTCTCTTTGATGAGGTGGCACAATCTCTACATGTTTCATTCGATCACGATGAACAGGTTCTTGGCAATGTTAATAACTGCATTATTATCACAAAACAGTTTCATTAAATTCCTAGCTGACTTATTCAGTTCCGGTAGCATTCTCTCAAGCCAAATTCCTTCGCAAATCCCATGAGACATAGCCCTAAATTCAGCTTCAGCACTACTTCGAGCTATCATTGCTTGTTTCTTGCTCCTCTAAGTGACTAAGTTACCCCACACATATGTCCAATACCCTATTGTTGACCTTCCGTCTATCACTGAACCAGCCCAATCTGCATTTGAGAAAATCTTCACATCTCTATTTAGTGTTTTTCTGAAGTGCAACCCTTTGCCTGTATTTTTTTTTCAAGCATTGAAGGATCCGATATACTGCCTCCATGTGTGTCTTTGTAGGATTGTTCATAAATCTACTCACCATACCTACAGAGAAGCCAATGTCTATATTGTGTTTGATGGTAAAAATCCACTTACATCCCACTAGGCTCTTTCCTCCAAGAAGATCAGTAATTTTCCATGTGCTATTCTTTGTTAGTGCTTGCATTTCTTCCATTATGACAACCTTCCACTTTGGTTGTTCGAGTGCTTCTTGGATGGTATTTGGTATATGAACATCAATTAATGATGTAACCAGTGCTTGGTAAGTAGGAAACAATCCTTCATAGGAAACAAAGTTACTAATAGGATGCTGAGGACATGATCTCACACCTTTTCTTATAGCAATGGGCTGATCAAGATAACCAGGAAAATCATCAGGGATAGGTTCAGTAATTGTGTTACCTGTATGAATTTCAAAAGTCCTTGGATTCTGTTTAGAATCTTGGTTCTGTGTTGGAGATGTACAGGTCCCTATCTCTTTTTGAGATTTTGGTCTCCTTGAGTATACAATCATTTCCTTAGCTTTTGTATTTTGCACAGTTTCAGGAGATATTGGAGACTTAGGATGACTAGTTGACTTAGAAGAAAAAGAATTATTTGAAATGAGAATTTGAATTGGCAGACAAGTAGAGGAAGGATCAGATGATGGCTCAATCTCCCAAAGTGGATATTCCTTAGAACTCTCCCCTGAATATCGGTTTTGGGATAGAATGGTTGATTCTTAAAGAAAGTGACATCCATAGAAGTGTAAAACTTTCTGGTAGTTGGTAAATAACATCTTAGCCTTTTTGGTTAGGTGAGTAGCCAAGAAATATACACCTGAGTGATTTGGGGTCTAGTTTACTGGATTGTTGTTGGTGTATATGAACAAAGGTAGTACATCTGAACACTTTGACTGGTATGGAGGAAATGATTTGGACATAAGGGTAGGTTTTGAGAAGTGTTTGATAGGGGGTTTGGAATTTTAGTACTCAAGAAGGCATTTTATTGATAAGAAAGGTTGTTGTCAGGATTGCCTCTCCCCAGAAATGTTTTGGGACATGAGAGGCTAGCATAATAGATCTTGTAACTTCCATTAGGTGTCTGTTCTTCCATTCAGCAACTTTGTTTTGTTGACGAATTTCAGTACATGAGCTTTGATGAATAATTCTTTGATCTAACAAGTAAGATCCAAGAACTGAGTGATATTATTCTCGCCCATTATTTGTTCTGAGCACTTGAATTTTTGCTTGAAATTGAGATTGTACCATCTTGTTGAAATTTTGAAATATTGAACTAACCTCTGACTTGTCTTTCATGAGGAATAGCCATGAAACTTTGCTGTGATCATCAATGAAGGTAACAAACCATCTAGAGCCTGTAATATTGATAACCCTCGATGGTCCCCGAACATCAGTATGTATTATAGAAAAAAGATGAGTTGATTTGTATGGTTGACTTTGAGATGAATTGTGAATGTATTTGGAAAACTGACAAATTTCATATTGATAAGACTTAGAACCTTTATTGAATAAATCAAGGAACAATTTTTTGAGGTACAAGAAATTTGGATGTCCTAAATGATAGTGCCATAACATAATTGTATTTTCTTGACTCTTATTAGAAGATGAAATTGAACAAGTGCTCTTCCATGATTGTCTCTTAGATTCTTAATCTATAAGGAATAGACTCCAGCACACATCCTAGTATTGCCAATCTTCTTCCCCAAATCCAAGCCCTGAAATTCACACATGTTAGAAAGAAATTTAGTAACGCAATTAAGATCTTTCGTAATTTTACTAATAAACAGAAGGTTGCAATGTAAATTAGGGACATGAAGAACAGTGAAAAGTGTTATGTGCTTTGAAATAATGACTGACCCTATCCCGACTACCCCGGAGAATGACCCACTGCTGTTGGAACTGTGAGGTTTCAGAACATGGGCTGTATTCATGGAACACCAATGCATCACTAGTCACATGGTCTGATGCCTTTGAATCAACAATCCAAGATCTTGATTTTCCATTTTGCATAAGTAGAGCATTGAAAGAGTTAACCTTTTTGTATAACAAATGTTGTGCTTACAACTGACTCAGTGTTCTAAAGAGATTGTTAAACAATTTTTTGAAGGAGTTCCAACTGCTTTTTATTGAACGGGCTTGATTCCGGGGGTGTTGGAGTTGTCTCAGTGGTGACAAAATTTCCATGACTCTCGATTTCGAGTAGAATGTGGTTTGTAGTCAACAGGTTTCCCATGGATTTGCCAACAATTTTCCCATGTGTGTCCTGCCTTCTGATAGTGGTCAGACTGAGGTCTATTACTTTTCATTTGTCGATTTTCACCACCTTGGTAGGATTTTGGTCCTCGTGCAGCATGTGCTGAATTTTCTATCTCTTGTGGATTGCATGATGTTCCTAGCATCACTTTCCTTTTACTCTCATCTCGATGCTGGGTAATGGCTTGATGCTAAGAATTCTCCCTCGAACATCATTAAGGCTCTTATTTAGACCAAGTAGAAACTTATAAGCTCGGTCTTACTCCACTATTTTCCCATATTGTTAGCTATCGTCAGGGCACTTCCATGCTATTTCTTCAAAGATATCTAATTGCTGCCAATAACGAGTTAAGGAATTAAAATATTTCATGATAGATGAGTCTCCTTGCCATAGTTCATGTAGAGTGCTTTTGATCTCAAATATTATAGACGTATTATCTACGTTGGAGTGGGTTTCTTTCGCAACATTCTAAATTTCCTTGGCAGTTTTGTAGTACATGAAATTCTCACCAATCTCGTTGGTCATAGAATTGATCAACCATGACATTACCATCCAACTTCTAGGTTTGGTACTTCGAGTCATCCTCGCTGGGTGAAACAACCATTCTTGTGAGATAATCTTCCTTACCTTTTCCACAGACAAACAACATCATTGATTGAGACCATTGGATGAAGTTTTGTCCATTGAGTTTGTGACCAATGATAGGCAAAATAGAGGACTCGGACACACCTGTGCTGTTTGCCAGGGCATAGATAGATAGATAGAAAAAAAAAATATATATATATATATATGTATAGGTTTTGATGATTCGGGATGAGCGCTCTGATACCATGAAAAAATTCATGAGAATCTTATTTATGAATTCTTAAAAAACTTTTTAGAGTACAAAAGTAAAAATATAGCTAAAACATCAAATCTGGCAAATCTCATGATATCCTAGAGATAATAACAAATCACTTAAAAATACTCTAACAATAAATGGGAACTACCAAGTAAGAATTTGATCAATGAACCAAATCCCTTTTATTTAGGAAACAACCAAAATACTAAGTGAATGACACCTAATCAAATCTAGTTAGGAATCGGTTTTCCACAGTTAGGAAACATGCATTGATATCCCTAAAAGTGCTTTAAACATTCTTAATTTGATCAAATATACTAAAGAATGTTTCAGAATCTAAACTAATTTAGAAATAGCATGATTACAATAGCATGATATAAGACATGCTATTTGATCTATAATATTAATAAAATAATATTTTTGGATGTCTTCCAGTTGTATACTTCTAGTCGCCAATATGCAAGTGAGGGATGTGCAACTTTTTACCGTCATAACCTATTCAAAGAAATCATGAAATATGAGGTGAATCTCTAAGTTGAGCGAATATACTTTCAAGTTGTATGGTTATAATTCTTAACTTGTGGCTGTAGCTTGACTTTGATCAGAGGGCACAGTTAGTGGTCGAAGATTTGAAACCTGAACTAAAAAATGAGGGTTGTATTCGCCTTATGAAGGTATTATATCTTAATTACACAGTTATTAATTTGCATAACGTCCTGATTAATTTTGTTTCTGCTGCAGTTATTTGTTTTATCTGCTCCTCCTTTCTCTCTTCTGAATCTTTATTTTGGTTTTGCAGGACAATGTTGCTCTTATTGTAATATTAGAAGCAATAAGAAATAGCAGAATCAGTGATGACTTTCAATCCAGAATTTGTGTGGTACTCTATGTATATGATATTTTCCAGCTTTATATCACTAGATCTGGGTAAACTCACATGGCCATGGTTTCAACCTCAGGCAAATACACATATACATGCAAACACTGAATTGCCAGACGTAAAGTTATACCAGGTTTTTTTCCCCAAATAGATGTCTACATTTCAAATTTTCTTTAAAACAGCAGAATGTATCCTTCTAACAATATCCCCCCCCCCCCCCCTCTTCTTTTCCAATGTCAAGGTTGCAAACCTTGTCTGTGGACTGGAAAAAATTTCGCAATCAAAGATTCCTATATTGATTTGTGGAGATGTGAACTCTCCTCCTGCAAGGTTAGTTTTCTGCTGTCAGTGACATAGTGGTCTATTTTCAAAGGATCACTAGTGGTTTTAAGTTGCCATTTATGGTTCATTTCATTTTCTTTTCTCAATGAATTTAAACTAAAGTGAAAATATTATCAAATAAAGGAAATCTAAGATAAACTTGCTTATCTCTAAAATTTGCTGCAAAATTGCCAAGTGAAGGGACTGCTGCTTTTTTCTTGTTATGGTTCTTGCCTTTTTAATCTTGCCTTTGCCCATTTATTTTGCATATTTATGAACATGATATTGTAAAAAATAGTTAGTTTCTTTTAGATCTTTTACAAGCTTTTAGTGAGAAAAGTGCTACTTTTGGCATTGTTTAAAGTTTTCATATTCTGAATTTGTTTATATATATATATATATATATATACATATATTTACATAGATCAGTGTCTAATTCATTATTAACCACTGCAGTGATCCTCATATGCTTCTAGTGACAGGCAGAATTGATTCTGTTTCTGGGGAGGAAACTGATCCACTGGGTATATATCAGATTCTCAAGCTTAAACACTCTTTGGCTCTTGTAAGAATATTGTTTCTTCCTATCCTTGGCTCATATTCTGACGTTATTGAAGGCCATATATGCTTATATCTCCCTTCTTTGATGTATCTGGGATATTTTTCCATCCCTCTGCAAGCATAGTTTGTTTATCAGATATTATTGGGAAAGCAAATGAATATATACATTTTCATCTTTCATGCTAGCATTCTACTTTTTTATTATGAGCTCATATTTGGTTGCCACACAATTTTAAGGCATGCTGCATTCTTATTGCTATATACAATGCTTATAGCAAGACTGAAAATCCTTTTCATCAGTTTAGATCTGGTCCCTGGAATATAATTAATTTGTATAACTATTATTTTTATAATTTTAATTGATACTCGACTTATCCATCTGTGTGTGGAAGTAATTAATTTGTATAACTATTATTTTTATAATTTTAATTGATACTCGACTTATCCATCTGTGTGTGGAAGTAGAAGAGCCCCCTTTCTTCTCATGTATTTCATTTTTGTTTTCGTCATGGCCGTCGTCATCATCATCATCATCATCATCATCATCATGTGTTATGATTTTCACTAGCGTTGACCTTAATATGCTCATGCAGGAAAAGTTGTTTTACAGGTTAGTGCATATGCCTCATTTTTCCATTCCACTGGGATTGAAGCAAAACAGTTGAATAGGATGAACCCTGACAATCATGAGCCTTTGTTTACCCACTACACTCCTAGATCCGTTGGAACCTTGGATTATATTCTCTACACAGGTATACTTTACCCCATAATTTGAGTTACCTTTGATCAATTGGCTGACCTTGTGAATTTTTTTTTCCAAATAGCTCAGTTTTATTTGACCATCGTGTTGTTTGCTTTTAAATTTTGCAATGCCATAATCTGTTCTCAATATCTTTTCTTAATTGACAGGGTATTTCCAAGCTGGTAGTTGAGATTTTCTTAAAATCATACAGTTCTTAATGTTAATTCATCAGCTTAAAATGATTGTTATGTGGTCCTTAAATAACATTATCAGGAAAAAGAAATCTACTAGCACTGGTTGTGATACTGTGAGCCTGTGACATAACATCTAGCGCAGTTACATGTTCAGCAACACTTATCCCATCATTGTAATGCACCGATCACATTGAGCCTTATAAATGGGTGTTGTGATGTGCTAGTTATTATTGGTAGCTGTGAGAATATGGGGAACTCTTTCTTTGCTAAATATGTCTTACAAGATAAAGATTGAGCTTCTTAGTTTTGGTGCCTTGGGAAACTGGGAAGATCTGCTTACCTGAAAATTGGGGAAAGTATTCTTTTATGCATGACTTAGTAAGTAGGTATGTGTTAGAGGTGACTCCTAATACACATTGAATAGTAACTCAATCATGAAGGAGACTTTACCGCTTTGACCTAGCATGGTCATTGACCTATTTATTTGGTTAGATAAGGAACTATGTTTTTAATTTCCCTTCAGATTCACTCTTTACCCTTTGCCAGTGAGGCTTATGGCATTGATGGTTGCTTTTTTGTAAGTTTCTAGTTTATTTTGGACAGGAACTTTTAGTTTCATTGTAGGTTAATGTTATCTGGATTTGCTGGGCAAAATTTGGTTTAGTACATGCATGAACTTTAACATCTTATACAGATGAATCCTACATAGCATCTAGAATTAGGGCTTTATGTTGGAAATGTTGCCACAACTGTCTCTTTCGTGGTCTTTATTTCTTTACATATTGGTTGGGAACCATTATCTATGCATTAAGATCTTGTAATACTTGTGTGTGTGTGTGTGTGTTTTTTTTTTAATGTCATGATATGTTTTAAATAGTACAACCAGTTGTGTTATTACTGCGTTGGTGGAATACTTTTGCATACCCCAGAAAACAGAAGTGTACTAGTTGATTGTAGATTATATAGTACTTAAAATGAGTCTTTCATCTTCCTGAGCAGAGTGATTGTAGATTATTGTAGATTTTGCTAACCATCTTTTATGAATGGACTTTTCCTAGCCTTTAAGCCTCAACGAGAGTTTTAAATTGAATTGAGAAACAATTAGACACCTCCAAACAAATTGTTCCTCCAAGTCTAAACAAAAATCATATCATTTACATGTGCTCTCAAAACCACTATCAATTAACTTTTGTCATCCTGGAAAGTTACCCTGTTCCCATGAGAATGACCAGACTGTTTTGTGAAACTTACTTTTTAAGTTCATGTTCATATTAATGTAGTCGAGGATATGGTTATATCTAGTTTCTATCTATCTGTTCAAGTTTTGCTGTACAATAACAGAAATTTTTGTAATTTATATTAGTTATTGGCTCATTGGATTTATGTTTTAAGTGCTTTTCTCTGACTATATAGATGTTCTCCAACAGCTGACAGTTTGACGGTTGAAGGTTTATTGGAACTTCTCGACTCTGAAAGCGTGGGGGTTGGTCTTCCATCTCCTCTATGGTCTTCGGACCACATTGCCTTGATGGCAAGTTTCAGACTGAAAACACCTTCCTCTGAATCATCTCCACCTCTTCCTCAGGAAATATGATAGCAACCAAGAGATGCGGTAGTAATTTAATCTGTATAGACAATATATGAAGAAATACCATTAGGAACTTTGTACACAGTTATAGAGTCAATCTCAAACCAGAGTAGTAGACAATGATGTTTGCAAGCACACTTCTTTCAGATACTTTCAGGTAGTCTTGCTACCTAATTTCATAACCCTGTAACTAATGCTGGTGATAACATTTGAACTTCTTTTTCCTCATCTTTGCTATATAGTTTGTGCCAGTATTCTATAGCAGTCTCAATTAATCAGTTCTTGCTTGATGGGAATTGGGGGCTATTTTCTCATTTTATACCAGATCAATCTCGGCTGTAGCATTGCAGCACATCCGATGCAGCTGAATATTGCCACCAGTGCCTGACATTGTAGTTGGCATTTACAACTAGAAATTTTACTAAGGTTTCTACTCTGTAAAATTCTCAAGTAATTAGGGACAAAAGAGTTAAAATTTTATCTCGCATGATTGTCTTGTACTTTAAATTCAAAATTTACACAGCCACTACAACTATTCACCCCACAATGAAGCCAATAAATGCTAAACAGTCTTAATTTATATTAGATGAACTAATTTCTGATTAATCTTCATAAACCCATTCAAGGCTGCTCCTGTTTACACAGTGAAGATACCGACTGGAAAAAAAAAAAGTTCATGGCTTTTGCTCATTCATCTGGACGATCAGAGACTGTTTTATGATGTAACAAGAGAAACGATTAAAATAAAGTGCTGATTATGGAATTAGATGGTTTAGGAAAACAGGTACATTGGAATTGAGGTTTGAGGCTGCATTTTAGCTTTTATATTGAAACAGGCAAAGCATCAGAGGCAAGAGGTTTCTTTTAAGGGATAGCTATGCATGTAAAAAAGAGAGAAAGTTAGATTTTGATTGCAAATTGAATTGGTGAATTCAGTGAGGCACCATCATATCGGATTTCTTAAACAAATTAGGAATCTAAAGCATAACCATATCTACATTAGACAAGTCAGTAAACTATGTGAGTTGGTTTCATTTCTCTCTCTCTCTCTCTCAATCAGTAGACATTTTTCATTGGAGATTAAGAAGCTTTATATATATTAGCTAATGCCTTTAGACAGGAGTACTATTTAGCTTTTCAAGACGAATTAAGAAATAAAAATTTAATTAACACACGTTGGAGTGGATGTTATCCTAAACTTAAAAACTTGATGATGATCCTTACTAGCTAGCACAGGAGGCTAAGCCTTTGCCTGAATAGTTTTGGAGGGCATTGGTCTGGTGGGTGCATGAATTTGCAGTTAGGGCATGCAGGTGATGACTTGCATAGCATCACCAACATGTGGCACCGCATGCACACTGTTGCTACCATCTCTTGATGTTGCTCATCATCCTCCTCCACTGCCAACCATGAAAGGTTGTGCGTTAATCCTCCTGATGAGTTTATCTTCTTATCAACTGCACCAGCGTTTGTGGTGGTAACAGAGTTGTGCTTGTTGAATTGCTGATGATGATCTGTTGTATCAATTTTCCTTACTGAATCACATGGTAGGTTTAGCTCAAGGTCCAGGCTCACGTGATGACCAGGGCTAGGGGGTTCGGGGCTTCTCCTTGGATCCCTAGAAGTTCTCGCATGGGTCCTCGTATTGTAATAGTGTATCTGCCCTGACTGAACATAGAGGAAGCCAAAACAATTATAAGGTTATGGTATTGTTTGTGTAACAGTATTTACTATTTACTACTGCTGAACCATATCCTTCATCTGAGGTTAATCTGATTAGATATCTTGGAATTTGAACATATAGAAATTCCATTACAAAGGATATTTTTATATATACCTGAATATCAAGACATCTTTGCCACTCCAAAGGTAATGGAGTCTCAAGGTGTAGCTCCATATCAAACATCGATTTCGTGCTTTCGGCTTTCCAACGCTTCTCGAAAGTTTCTTCACGATCACCTTCTTGCGGCTCTTCCAACTTTCTCTTCTTTGATGAATTCTCTAACTCCTGGATCGTCTTTCTGATCATGTCTGGAGGAGAGAGGGGGGCTTGAAAGGAGACCATATAGCCAAAAGCTAGCTAGCTAGCTTTCCACTCTCTTAATTTCTATCTTTTCAGAGAGGTACTGATCAAATGGTGAAATAGTTTTAGGTGGTTATATAGGCTGAAATTTGGGGTGTAATGGCATATAACTACAAGGGAAGAATCTAATAGGAGGGCAAGTTATATGGAGGTAGAAATTAACCAAAAGGAAGTGCCTACATATGCATGACGTGCATTCCAAGTTGGCTCTTCAATTAACTACACAGCTCCAATCCAAGCTCCTGCTTTTCAAAGCTAAGATGTGAAGTTCTAACAAACCTCTCTTTGGTGAATTATATATGTATTTCACCTGATCTTGATGGCTCCTAAAAGCCCTGCCAATACAACTAAACTTAACTGTGCTTACGTGACATTACATAATCCTGCCTCGGGTTTCAACTTTCAAGCCATATATATTTGACAGTGCTGACCAACTCAAAACAAAGCCAAGCCAAGCCAAGCCAAAACGCCAAAAGTTAAAGTGCTTTTGGAACTAAAGAAAGGCGGTGAGACTCGAGAGGTGTGGAAGGGGAAGGTCATTAAATGTGGAGAGTCTGTATACAGTTGAAGGGGGAAGGTCTTGAATGCCAATGAATCTTTAATAACATAAATAACTCCAACTTCCACAATTGAGTCACTCAAAGAACTAAAACTTTTAAAGCTTTCAACACCCCTCCCTTTTCTATTAAACAAATCCCATATCTCAATACCTATATCAATTAATCACTCCATGAACTTAAAACTCTCAACACCCCTCCCCCCCTCAGCTATATCCAAAGGAAAAAAAACCCATGAGCTCAAATTGATTGTCTTCCCCCACACTTTCTTTTCCTTTTCTCCTTTCTTAAAAGCACCATACCTATCAAGTTTCATCAGCACGTTATCCTCATGTCCCAAAATTCCAATTTCCTTCTGTTGGAAACTAACTCTTTATCTTCTTGGACCAGCAAACAAGGCCCTGTTTTCAATTCTCTGTACGAGATAGTCATAACTTAAATAACCATAAAAATCCTTCAATGATTTATATTTTAGATTCGCCTTTAATTAATAATACAATGACCAACTTTCAAATTTGATAAATTTAAGTTTGATTATTAACTTTAACATATAACTGCCAGCATATTCATATATATATATATATATATATGTGTGTGTGTGTGTATAAATTGAACTCGGCGCCCGTGATATGGGGAATACCTTTTCACTCGAAAAAGGCAGAGTGTGGAAGCAGGAAAAAAGAAAAGAAATATACGGTAAGTTGTTCGTTGCGTGTGCATGGGAGGTTACACGTTAACGGATGTCCTTTGCCGAATTTCACCAACCAATTATAAATTGGTGAGGGACCCTAAATAGAGACTAGACAGCAGATGACATAAATACCAACCCATTTCATTACAAGTAGTCAAAACAGCAGACAACATTTAACGTCCTTCTTTTCCAAACTAAGGGTATTTTTGTAAACTAATGAATCCCTCCCCATCCCTCCAAGTTTGAAATATTTGGAGTAATTTGTAGAAAGTGATCTTTGACAACAAAAAAAAAGAAAGGGCATTCCAATTCCAAAGCCATTAAAGGCAGGCATTGAGAGAGAGATAGAGAGAGGGTGTTCTAAGTAAGTCTACCTGCCTTCATTAACTGCCATCTTGAATTCACTTAAATGCAGAATTCAAGGGATGACCATTGAAAACCACCTCGCTTTCTTCAACATCTTTCATCGTCACTCTCACCACCGGTTTCTCCCCTTCTGTTTTAATGCTCTCAACCCACCTCTTCTTCCCTTCATTTATGTTTTTGTTCCACTCCCTTTCGACTATGTCTTTCTCTCTCAATGTTAATTTCAACAGGTTCTAATTAAATCACTTCCCACATATGAGAATAACTGTCAGAATCTACTATTCTCACTAATGAATTACGTGAATCGTTTTGATCCCCAAAATAGGATTTTAATCCCATTGTCACTTACTTAAAAGTGGGTACACAATCACCAATTTTAAGTCCCACAATTTAATGAAAAATTAATTATGGCTTGGATCCGCTGTTGAGATTGGCTTAATTAGGTCTCATATTATGAAACCCAGAATAAAAAATTAAAAAAAAAAAGAGAAAATGATGAATTTTTATTTTAAAAATAATTTCAATAAATTGGTTCAAATTGAGTTGATATAGAGATATTAACAAAGAACGTCAATGAAATGAATCTAAAATTTAACTCATCAATTAATTCATATAATTACTTTTAAAAAGTGATATTTAATAAATATAATATTCAAATCTCAACAATTGAAACCCTTTAATTTTATCATTAGATTGAGATTTCTTTATACCAAAATAATAAAAACAACAATGAAATATTGTAGGTGTCATACATAACTCCATAGAAAGAAAGAAACAAAAATAGATTATGATTGAAAATTTGAGGTGAATCAATTTTAGATATTTGTTGATCAATTACTCGTGACTCTTAATTCCAATTAATTGTATATAGCCATATTGGTTGCCTTTCAATAAGTAGGCATATGAGAGAATATAAAAACTTTGTTAATCGTAATCTATAGGGAAACATAATGCTTCTTCTATAAAAGTGGTTATTAATTCTGTTGGGTGTGGCTTACTAGCCAGCTACTAGCTACTAGTATGAATTATACTAGTAAAGATGGTGATCTCCATTTTAGCTCCTCTAATTAATAATATATATCGATGTATACATACTTACATATATTCTTAAATTTAAGGTAACAGTTGTTGCAAATCTCTATTGCCTGAAAAAGAGATTATTGCTTTGAAATGGAAATTGGATGAAATCAGTTTTCATTATTAAACAATAAGAAACATGCAAACGGGTGGTACTTGCATGGATTGGGATTCTGTAGAGAATTGTAGAGGTTAAAGCTGTAATGCTCTATATATTTATACAAAAAAAAAAAAGAATTAAATGTGTAGAATTGAAAATGATCTTCAATATCAAAAGTATTATCTTCAAACAATAGAGTGAAGTTTTTTAACATGGAAGAAGGGAAGTTAGGTAGTTATATGTTTTTAATGTAAAAAAATTCCATATATAAGTAAATTAAAAAATAAAAAGATGAGAAAATAAACTTATAAAATCTAAAATCTTTATTCACACTCATTAATTATATATTTTTCTTATCATCAAAAGCTATATCCTTGATCTGGAAAAAAAAAAACCAGTCTTGTACCTCTTTATAATGTTATGACTTCTTAAACATCTTGTTTATAGCATTCAAAACTTTTGAGAGATTAATAAAAAAAACAGTGTTACATTCATTCATTTGATACACTCACTTCACACAATTATTTCTTAATTATTCTAAGAATTTGTGAAAAGAATTAAACTTTTTTATGGACTATAATTCAATTTTGAAAACTTAAATGTTATATGAGTGCTTGAAATAAGTGTATTAAACGAGTGTATATAGCCTTTTTTCAAGAAAGAAAAGATTGATAATGATATATAAGCTTTTCAAGATTCAAGTTTCAAGCAGTCATGGAAATTGTGGCTTTGAAGTTGATCATGATTTCTTTTAGTTTTGTTATCTGAAAGTGAAAAGGCGGTAGAAAAGCCATGAAGGCACTTTAAGTATAAGTAAGAAGAAGCGAACGTGTTACATGGGAGGATCATGAAAGGCTATAATTCATGTGAGACAATGAGAGCAGCAAACTCTCGAATAGCAATATTATTAATCAGTCTGATTTACTTGCACTTCATATTTTTTGCTTCATCAGTGTCCCCGTAATAATTACAGCACAACAACTGAACTTTGACCATTCACACTACCGAAAATCAAAACATACTCGTACACGCAACAACAATATTTGGAGAAAACATTGAATCAATTATTACAACTTAATTTCTCTCATGCATAACACTTGAGCATTTGGTTCAAAATTGGGATTTGAATTCCCTAATTCCCTAACCAAAAAAAAAAAAAAATCTTTGGCAAAGACACCTATTGGTTCATGCAATATTCATGCATGTTTAGAAGATTATTATTATTTTTATTAAGTTTATATAAAAATATTATATTAATTAAACAAACGAACCAACTAATAAATTAAAACATCTATAATTGGATAATTAATATAAAGTTGAATCAAATCGACACACAATGAAACTTAAACTTGAGACCTCAAGATTATAGACCTACTCTTTGCCATTGATCCAAGATTTCATGCAGAAATTTAGAATTAGAAGGATTGAATAGAATGTAATACAAGTATGTGGATTATAACTCCTGACATGGGATGAAACTAAATAAAAATTTTGAGAAAACAAAAAGGGATCAGATAAAAGACGAGAGAAGCAAATAAAAGAGGGGAAGGAAGTAAGGGAACTGACCACCAAACTGATGAAGCAGTCAAGACTGAAAGAAGTACAGCATTTCTCTGTGGGGGAAGGCCAAAGGGGGGACCACATTTTAAAAAGAAATGATGAAATATTAATGCATGGATTCATCACTATGGTTAACTACTGCAAATGCAATGCGTGCATTTAATTTTGATCAAGTATAGTTATGTTGGATTGGGATCCCTATAAATTGGTATATGCATGAGATCTATGAATTGGGTCCTACATTTTTTTCAGTACATATAAATTATATATATGGTTAGGGTACTGGACAGTAAGGCATTGCAGACAGTTTTCAATCACAGTTGGTTGGTGATGCATTTTAATTTTAGTTTGTCTATCAAAGGGGACATATTCGACCCTTTCTTTCTTTGTTTCTTTCCATTCAGTTTGCAAACTTTGATACGTACATCATGTTAAATGAGGCTTTAATCTGACATTGCTATTTCATTTTCTAGGAAAATACAACATACTTAACAAGGATATATATATATATATATATATATCTGCTTGGATAACAAAAAAGAAAAAAGATTCATAATTAATATATATATATATATATATAGTTTATAACAGAGGAATTATTTGAGGTTTTTACTTATTGCATACCTATACTTGCTTCTTAGGACTGTTAAAAAGGAGTAGATCTTAATATTTTATACTTATAGGTGGATTTATCAGAAATGTTTATCAGAAATGATATCGATTAGGCTAATTATATAAACATATATGTTCTATTTGTTATTGTGAATAAATAATATATATTGATCATAACAAATGTTCCTATGTTGTAAATAATAATTTATACTAATTGTTATGATGTCATGTTAAAAAATTTTAATTATTTCACAAATTTAAGGTTTTTTTATGGTATTGATCATTTTGATTTGCAAATGAGAGATACCCTTCTCTCATTCTAATATAGACATTCTTTTCTCTAAATTCAAACTCTAGATTTTTGGACTACAGAGTTTTAACAGATGGAGTACTCTTTGAAAACACAAATTCATATAATCGTAGCTAATCGACTATTAGCTCAAATGATATAATGTTGAAATGATTCTCAATGTTGCATGTTTGAAAATGTGCTCCTCAAATAAGTTAAATATATACAAATTTGAGAAATTAAAAGTAGATTAGATATTTTTAAAAAAAATTCTTTACTAATATACCAACAAGTAGTATTAGTAATCCATTTTAATATGGGTGGTCCCATAATGAAGTGCCAAAATGCAATGTCAATGCCATAAATATATATATATATATGTGTGTGTGTGTTTGTACCCGCGCGTGTATAAATTCCAAGCTTCAAAATTCAAAGTTCATAACCCCTGACTTCATCACCTTAATTGTATTTTCAAGCTTGGAGTTGGAGGATAATAAATTAAGTTTGAAAATACTAGTACTAATATAAATATATAAATATATATATATATATATATATTCAAGTAGCTAAATTTTATTGTATAGAAGTCAAATTAATCCACAAATGCATTCCTCAGTTTAAAGATTTTTTTGGCATTTAAAACAAACTTGCCAATTTCAACCAAGTTGGTCAACAAATTTATGCAACTTTGAATGAAGCATTTATGTATCAAATTCAAACCAAGAGCTTTATACATCCATTGCTCTATAGAGGAAGAATATGAAGTTTTTTATGTGGAATTTATGAAATTTTTTATTAAACATAATTTAATAAAAAAAATTAAAATTTTTATATTTAATTTATGTAATAAAAATCTTTTAATTTATCAATTTTGATTTTAAAATTTAGATTTTACATAATCAATTTTAGTAAAAAAATGTTACGAATTTTATAAAAGAGAAATTTCATCTAAATCTTTTTCATTATTTTAATAGTACAAGCTACATATACAAACACAAGTATTTGCCCCAAAGGCCAAATTCAATTAAAAAGTCAAAAAATAAAGAAAAAAATATTTTTAAAAGAAAAAGAAAGATAGAAAACAAAGAAAAATGTCACCTAATAACATCTAAAAGTCTTATAAGGATGAGGTAGTTTATTACGATGGCCATTAAAACCTAATGTCTTAGAATTTAAATTTTAACCATTTTTAATCTAATAAATTAAAACTTTAGTATCATGTATGGGTTTGTGTAGATTGAATTTTAAATTTGATGAGTTTCAATATGATGATGAACATACTAGAGATTATTCAAGTTTATTGATTTATTATTGTTTTTTATCTAATAGTTCAAACTTTTAGATTCACAGTTTATTTGATCCAATGTGAATGAGTCACAATCATGCTAAAATTAAATTATAATTTTTAATTATTAAAATAAAAAATTAATTACATGTTAAACGAGTGTATATCAAAATTAAATGTTAAAAATAGTTGTTACATACTTATATTAAAAATTATCATAATTAAAAGTTTAAAAATTAAAATAAATTTTACAGTTTATATATTACATTAAAATTAAATAGGTTTCACAACCGTGTTAAATATATCTTAAGTGTGTTTTGTATTTTTAACACTTTTACAGTATAAAAATTGTGATGTTTTAAACAAGTTGACACATTTAAATATAAATAAACTAAATTTATATACAATTTATTTCGTATATTTTAATATATTGCATAAAATTATTAGATTAAAGAAACAATATAACTAATGATGATTTTTTAGAATAGGTGGGTAAGAGGTATGATTAAAATTTTCCCTCTTGGGACAATCTTTATGACAAATTGATAAAATGCTTTGTCAAGTTCGGTAAGGAAGGTTGGATTATATATCTATTAAAACTTACAGTCTCACCTAATTCCAAAATTATGAGTTCTGATACCCGTCGTTTTTTTTATGGGATTTCTGCTTTGCTTGAAAAAGAACTGTTTGCAGCCTTGATTATGTATGTAACTCTCTCTACGACAATTGTAATTAACTTGGCCTACCTAGATTATTAATGCAATATAAGGCGTCAACATTGATCGGGCGGCATTCACTATGTGGCCAGTATCACATGTTTCTGATTGATTGATGATGAGACTTCATACAAATATCATTCAATATTAATACTAATTCATGCGTGTTGTTGTATATAAACCATGAACGAGTATGAAATGACACCATATTTAAGTATTAAACATCTAAATGAAAAGGACGTTGTCAATATTCCAGCAATATTGCCTCAAATGATAATGTGCCTAGCATTAACCACAAACAAACCGACGCCAATACCAGTGCTTCTCCCAAACTAAATTCATGGAGTCCAGAGGAATTCCTTTTGTTTCGGGCAAGAAGAGGGCGACAAAAATGGTCATCAACGCGATCCAAGCAGCGTAGAACAAGAAGGTGCCATATTTGAAGTGGCAAAGCATAGTTAAGAAGGTTTGGGACAGCACAAAGGTGGTTGCAAAGTTGACCGCAACGCTGATGCTTTGGCCCGTGGGTCGAATGTTGATGGGGAATATTTCACTTGGAATGAGCCAGCTGAGAGGCCCCCAAGACCAACCAAACCCAGCTGCGTAGATGCACATTAGAACCAGTACCAATATGGCATATTCCTTGCTTATTTCCTTGGTGCCTGAAACCCCTGTTGTAACTGCTAGCACGATTGCTACCGCGATCTGTATAAAGTTTCCAAACAAGATAAATTTTGTTTTTTTTTTTTTTTAATATAAAAAGATTCAAGATCTAAGAACAATTAAAAAATATTTTTAAGTGCGGAAAATTGAATATGAACGTTATGAAAATTCATCCCCTAAAAAAATGTAAATAACGGCTTGGTTAAACCCTAATTGATATAGAATATCATGGATGGGTTTTTGAATTCCTTCTAGGCCTGCAACCAGGCCTCAAGTTAAGCCCGATAAATAACCCAAAGCTGCTTTTAGGTTTTTTTTTTTTTTAAGGTATTCTTTCTGGATCCAATGGGCTCCTGGCTACACAAATAGCACAGACATGTGTAGCCCTTTAATATCCCTACTCTGGAGTGCAGTTAACCCTGAAAGGAAGAAGAGCTTGAAAGTAAAAATAAGCAAGTAACAATTAACAAGAGCAAGCGCATACCTGACAGACAAACATTTGAATTCCTCCTTCCATGAATAAAAACCTCCGACCAAACCGATCAACTACACCGGTAGACACAAGGATTGACGCAAGATTAACTAAACCCAGTATGATAGCTGCTATCAAAGCTGAATCATTTCCAAAGCCCACTGATTGGAACAGAATCGGTGCATAGAATGCAATGATGTTAATCCCGGTAACCTGTTGAAAAAATGGTATGGCAATTGACATGACCAGGTGAGGCCTATATTGCCTCTCAAATATTGTCACAAAGGGTTCTCGTTTTGCTTCTTTGGCTACATCACTGGCCCTTTTAAGCTCAGCAAGCTCCGCTTCCACATCACAATCTTTCCCTCGGACTTTCCGAAGTGATTGTCGGGCTTGCTCCACTTTGCCTCGTTCTATTAGACTGCTGGGAGTGTCCGAAATGAGGAGTGCGCCTATTGTCATAATGGCAGCGGGTACCATGGCGAGGCCAAGAGAGAGGCGCCAACCCCAACTGCGTTTAGCAGTACCAAAGTTTATGCAGTTTGCTGCCACCACCCCAATGCCTATGAAGAATTGGAAGCCTGTGTTGAAAGCACCTCGCCATTTTGGTGGTGCCACTTCGGAGAGGTATACAGGAGTTGCCTTCATTGAAGTTTACAAGAAATTTTAATGTTAATTATGCAAACAAGTTGAATAAAAATTGCTAGTGCATTAGTCCATTTATTAGTACAAGCGTGATCAAGTTGACTTGGACATACTTTAATAGTACTTAGAAATTGCCAGATTTTATAGTCAAAATTATTGCGTTTGCTTAAAGCTTGCCTTGTTTGGAAATTATTATATGGTGAGATCCAACATGTCTACATTTCTAACCATTAGTTATTTGAAGGATTATCAAAATTTGAAATGCTATTGAAATTTTTAAAGAGTCTGGAGCACCTAGCTATAGTTACCTGATTGGTGAAACCAACTCCAAATCCAAGCAAGATACGGCCTAAGATAAGCATGACAACATTAGCGGCGCCACCATTAATGGCAGCACCAGCAAGGAAGGTGAGGCCACCTAAAACCATCGTGTTTCTTCGACCAATTGCCGCGGTGAGGCGGCCAGCAACCAGTGATGCAGCCAAACCAGCGATGTAGAGTGAAGAAGTAAATGACGTTAAAACTTGACTATCATACACACAATAGATATTTGTTTTAGCCTCCGCTGCTTTTCTTAACACTGATGGGAAAAATTTCTTAAGAAATGGTTGCATAGTTGTCACACCTCCTGTAAATTTTGACAGCAGCACCAGGGATCGATGTGTCAGCTTTAGCAGAGGATTCAAGTTTTTGTGTACTTTAACCAATCTTAAAATTCCATTGCAACCATCAGTTATACTTTTTTCTTGTGATAGTCTGCTATTATTTTTCGTCCCATCTCTTCTTCTTTCAAAGTTCAAAGCCGTTATCAAGAAAAGGATATGAGCTTATAATTATTAATGTAAACATTTAAATGCGCTCAATATTCCGTAGGTTAAGTTCTATTCAAGAGTTTTTAAGGGTTCAACCATAAATGCACTTTTCGTGTGATGAGAGTCCTTTAATCGAATTCTCAAATGAATTCTTGACGTCACTTTTCATCTAATTATCTTTATTATATTTCTTTTTTTGACAATTTTAAAGAAGCACGAAGATATTCCCAAATTGTAAATACTTTCCGACATATACATAATCATTATTTTATATAAAATTATTTGATAGATTAACATTTTAATTTTTTTTAATTTCACAAACAGAATTAAAATAATAGTATCTATCTCAATTTTTTTTAAATTAATTTTTTTATTTTTTAAATATACACTATGAATCATATATTATTATCTTAATCCTGCTTATGAAATTAAAAAATTTTACTGTTAGTATATTTGATAATTTTTTTTTAATTTTATTAGCTCACACCTATTAAACAACTTACCTAATTCTCTAATTGTCAGGTTAGTTAACCCAATTTGTAGGCTTTTCTTTTCTTGTTAGTAGGTATCATCAGATTTCCCTAGTCTTCATAAAAACATTTCAAACTGGCCGGAGACTATGAAAAAGATGTAGAATCCAAATGGAGATATAATTAGCTAGCTTAGCTATGTTTCATTGAAAATTATGATGAATCAAATAAAACAAAATTGATAGTTATCTGATAATGACAAGGACCCACATGGCAAATTATATATACCAAATTTACATTAGTCCAAAATTGACTGGCAAATTGAAGTGCACAACTAACCTATCTGGACGTCACTTAATCAAAATTTTTATTGCGATTTTAATACTTTTGGGCAAAGTTCTTAGAAAAATAAAAACTATTCTAAAAAAAAATTAATCTTGTAAGACCATCTACCAGTCAAAGTTACCTGTGTTGAATTATTGCATTCAGTTTTCGTTATCCTGAGATAATTCTGTAATCCAGTATAGTGCCAGCCTAACCGAGACAAATTCTGAGTCAGAAATAATCTAAAGTTTTTGACCAAATCCAGACAAGGGTTTGATACTTCTAAAGCAAGGTGATAACCGTTTATTTCTCAAAATGTAAGACTAGTAGATTTCATTTTTGACATCATTGAGTTAAAATGTCCATATGCTCTGTAAAAATAGAAATAATATTCCCCTGAATCTCCCCCTGGCGTTTATAATCTTCCTCTACTCTAAGTTCATTTGTGCTTTTGTTTCTCGTATAATGGTTTTTTTTTTTTTTTGTTCTAATGGAGAATGAGATTAAACTTGAAAATAATTCTCCATTTATGTCCAGATAGTATTAAATATCTGTTTCATTTGTATACTGAAAAGCATATATGAATGAATCCAATTTACTAATTTAGTGGCAAAACTATAAATAACAACAAAGGAAAAAGTAGAGCAACAGGAATATTATACTGAGTTCTGTAAAGATGAAAGATGAAAATTTAATTTAATGACCAAGGCGTTGTAATTTAAACCTATGTTTCCTAGTTCCTACCTAACCCAGTATAGCTGAAATTATTATCAGATAATAATTTAAAGATTGAAGGATAAAACGAAGTACCGCACCTGAAATTCCTATGTCATAGCCAAATATGAGGCCGCTTGACGCAGCAACGATGCAGGTGACCACCACCGAAACTGTGATCTTGCCATTGAAGCCGCTGACAGGTCCGTCAACGCTGAAAACTCCTACAGCCATTTCTGCTGCTCTTTCTCAGAGTCCAAAGAAAGATTGATAAGTACTGAAACCCTGAAGAACTGAAAAACAGTTGGAGCAAATCCTGGTGATCAGCCGTCCTGACTCATCAGCACCTTGTCGTGATAACAGAAGAGACTACTTTATATTGTGAAAGATGGTTGGAGTTACACGATACAGCAAAGGGATTGTAGGAAGTGTTTTTGCGTCCAAATTTTCTACCTACCCGTCTATCAATGGAACTTGAATTTTTTATCTATAAGAAACTTGCGTTTGGGATCTTGAAAATTTGACAAGAAAACAATATTATATTAACAAAAATGAATTTAATACTAATACATGAAACAAAAAGAAAACTTCTTTGTCTTATATGATTATACGGTACTTGGTATGGTTTTTCCTTTTTTTTTTTTTTGAATGTAATAAAGGACCCTCTTCAATGGTGTTCAAGACGACCCATTTGGATATTGTTCTTAATAATGTGAATGAATTAAAATCATTGGTGTTTTTTTTGGGTGGGGTGATATTCTTATCTGCAGAGCTCCTTTTTAAGTTTTTTTCTCTTAGGAAAATGATGCAAAGGGATTGAGTAAATGTTAGAAGACGACAAGACGACAACAACTATGCCAGGGAAAAGGCATGCACCACATATTGCACCAAATAAAGCCAACGAAAGAAACTGGTAGTTGGCCACGAGGAATACCAATATCTTCCCTTCTCTGATTAAGCTGGATTTAGGAATTCTAAACCTCCCTAATTAATCAAATATTATTGATTTAAAGTAAACGATTTGAGACAAATAAACTATTAAGTTTAATATATGCAAGAGGAAAAAAATTAATTCAATTTGTGCCATTTTCCCTCCCAATGATCCCTGAAATTTCTGAGACCGATGAACGTGGCACGTAGGATACTGTTCATTGGTGAGAGGGCCGACAATTACGGAAGGAAAAAAAAAAAAGAAATTGACTATTTAAAACAAACCTCAAGGTTTTCTTTTTTTATTAAAATAAATTAGATTCATTAGTCAGCAAGTTTTTTATTCGTAGTTTGAGTTTCTCTCCTTTGGATAGCATATAGTCCTAGTGATCTCAACGGCTAACGCTAACAAGCATACCTTCTAGAGACAAGGAGAGCATATCTACTGTTAAAGCGAAAAACATATGTTTGATTTTTAAAATTTTAAGAAATTTAACGAAAGCATATTTGAGTTTTTAAGCGAAATTATAAATTAAAATTTTTTAAAAAGTATTAATTTTAATAATAAGTATGTAATTAATTTTTTTATATTTTTATTTTACCCTTAAATAGTTACAAAATTATAAAGAAGAATATATTATTTTACATTATTTTTTTTTATTTTTTAAATTCATTTTTTATTATACTTAACAAAATATTTATTTAGTTTAGTTATTTAATTTTTACTTAAAAAACTATAATTTAATCTAATAAAATTAACTATTTACTCTTTATTTATTAAAAATATACAAAAAGCTTTCAAATAATTTTTTTCAATATTTTATAGCATTTCAATATCAAGGTTATCAAACTCTATTTTAACTTTTTTTAAAGCACCTTTATAGCTGTTTTATTTCAATAACTTTTTTTTTTATAAAAGTTCCTGCCGGACCAAACAGGTTTAAACAAGAGATACAGCAACATAATAAACTAATGAGAATTTGACAGCAAGAATTCATGGTTTTATAAAAGCCGTCGAACAAATTAAGAAAAGAAACGATGATTCTCTAATTAAAAGATTACATGCTTTTGGTTATACAATTTCTTGAATTTAAATTTATTGAATGTTAAAATTATATAAATTAATTGAATTAAATTTAAATTCATACATTTTATGTATATAATTTTATTTTAATTTGTAGAAATTAAAAATGGAGTGCCTGTCTTTTCTTGTCCTTTCAATGTATTTTATTTTCGTGTAATGATTAACTAAGTTCATTTTAATTATATTGTTTTTGATAAAAACCAACTCAATAATCAATATTGACAAAAAAATAAAAAATCAGCACTTTTCTCTATCATGATATACAGTTACAAAGATAACAAGATTACGTGTTTTTGTTTGGAAAAATTTCTAGCTCGAGTCTAACCTCGTCAAGGTTTTTGCGCTCTCAAATCCTCTTTACTAACAACTCAATGGGACGATCTTAGCTAAAGATTGTTTAAATAAGGCCCTCGAATGAGACCAAGAAACAGGGCAAAGGCCCAAGGCCGATTGGCATTGCTATGACTGTAAATACGAATGTGCATAATGTTTTAAATTGACAATAATAAATATTTTTATTTATTATATTTTTTAAATAGTATTTGTTATTTTAAATTATTTTTAATTTATCATTTATAAAAAATTGGTATTATAATCAATTGACAATTTTATTCGGTGTTAGTTTTAATTAGCTAAATTTTAATCTAATTCACATATGAATATTAATAAGAGTTTGAAACAAAGTTACTGTATTAATAGTTTTAATTATTTAATTTTTATTAACAATTTAATTGTGATTATTATTAAAATTCTACCATCGATTTTATTATATAGTTAATACTTTTATGTTTCTTTTTAAATTATTTTTAGTTTTTTAATTTTTGAGATATATATAAAGGGAGGATGATATGGAGATATACACAAAGCAGCGCAGTCATCGGGTGATATTCTAGCCATGAAAAACCCACTGTATATTGGCGAAATGGCAGATAAAAAAAATAAGGTAAGGGCAATAGTAAAACTAGACATCGAAATATTGTGAAGTGCTCCTTCTTAGTTTACAATTACCTTGAAAGGGGTAGCTTGGCTTCTGTTTTAAGCAACGATGAAGAAGCTAAGAAATTGGAGAGGAATAAGTGGGCGAATATTGTAAAAGGTGTTGTTCACGTCCTCTCCTATTTGCATCATGACTGTGTTCAACCCCCAATTGTTCATCGAGATGTAATGAGCAGCAACGTTCTTGATTTGGAGTTTGAAGTTCATGTTTCAGACTTTGGCACTGCTAAGCTGCTCAATCCAGATCCATCCAATTGGACTAATACGGATATATTGCACCTGGTGATTTTTATTACAGCTCCATAGATGACTGAGCATGTAGCATGTATAATGTTTGATATTAACTATTTATCTTTTCCTTTGCAGATCAGCTTTCCCACACAATGGAAGTTGCTGAAAAATGTGATGTGTATAGTTTTGGTGTGTTGGCATTGGAAGTTATAAAGGGGGCATATCAGGGTGATTTTCTCTCTAATCGATCATCACTTTTATCTGCTGAACTGCACCTTCCGCTAACCAATGTGTTGGATGACAGGCTTTCACCACCATTGCCAGAAGTTGAGAACAAACTCGTATTCATCCTGAAGGTGGCTTTTTCATGTTTAAATAACAACCCAAAACCTAGGCCAACCATGTTCATTTTTCTCAACTGTTTTCCGACCGGATCTAGTTCTATAGGATCCTTCGAACTACATCTACGGGGCCACCTTATAAATGTTTGGTATTGCTTGAATGTTGTTTTTTTAGTTTGTATGTACTCATAGGTAAAAGGATTGAAATGCAATGATTAATTACTATGAACTGATAAATGAATATAATGCATATGTTTGTTTTTTTATTTTTCACATGAAAGAACAAAGTGATTCAAAATTAAGAATTTGATCATTTTGTGAATAAGCGATTCCTACATAAAATAATAATAATAATAATGCTGCATAGTACATATGTACAGATAAGATATATAAAACTTCTGAACTTGCTTGAGTAGGGTGCTTGGACAGGATCATATATGTCCTGACTTTGCAACAATTTATAAAAATAACAATTATATCAGGTATATAGGATGATCCAATTGTTTTGTAAAGTTAATCTATCATTGCTAAAGATAAGCTTTTTAATGAGAAAATTGAATTTTCAAAGTGTAGCATTGATGATAGATTGATAGGTCTAATATTCTTGATGACGGCATTTGACATTCATACACATCAACTTAGAACAGGAACTCTGGTGGTTGAAAATGTCAAAAAAACAAGCAAATACATGTATCACCAAAATATATTACTGAAACAATAATTTACTCAGGATATTTTGTTCTTGTGTCATTCCTGATTAATAAGTAGATTAGTAAGAACAATTTGCCCGGTTTTCATGGATCAAATTCATGTTTAAAGGGATTTCCAAATATTTTCAAAAAATAGATTTCATTTAAAACTTTTATCTCAGAATAGCTCTCATTATACCATGCCTTACGTAATATTTTTAGACACTACTGTATCCAGTACAAATGTCGGTTTTACTTTCCATTACCTTATATAAACTGAAAGCTATAAATATGCTTGTATAAGCTGCTCAACGATTGGCTCTCAGGAAGAAAAATCTATGGTCGGTTTCAAAATTTCTGGTTTTGTTTAGGTTGCCTTTAATTCTGAACATGCTTTGGTTCAATGATCAAGAGGGTATTTTCAATGCCAAGACTTTTACAAATAAAAAATATCAAATGTGAAGTGCGTTCTAGCTCACTATTGATCAGTTTAAGATTACAAAAACATGGTGGACAAAGAAAGTACATATACTGATATAGGAAACAAAACTATGGATACATAAGCAGAAGTCTGTAATTTGGAATTTGGATACAAATATGACAATAACATGCCTTTAGGTGAGTAACAGAGGGATTGGGTGCAAATGAGAAAGATGAAATACAATAATAAGACCTAGAATGAGCGGAAAGAAAGCTTTTGAGTGCAAACTGTTCTAAGATTAAGTTTGAAAAAGCAGTTCATTTTTATGAAAAACTTCTCTGAAAAAAGTCCTGTTAGGTTTTGGACCATGTAATCAAAGCACATTAGAGATTTGCCACCTTAGTAGGAAGAGATTCTAAGTTCTTGACTGTTGATTATAAGATTGATTGTTCAGGTTTGCTTCTACATATTTCTTTCCTGAATTTGTAGTCATTATGAATTTTATTTGCTTGCCCTTTTTTTGTTTATTGGTTCCATCAGTGCCTTTTTTTTACGATAAAGGTTCTTTCTGTATATTATACCATCAAAATCATTAACAGAAACGAGAAAGAAATTAAAACATAGATGTTATTGAAATTTTTCAAAAAGCTGAATGGCATAAATATTATCAACAGCAACATATGAACTCTTTCAAATTTATTTATTGAAATCTTTGAGTTGGGAGGATTGGCATGGTGTCTTTTACTTTAATAACAGATGTTGAAATCTTCAAATAGCCATGAGCTAGTCTCCACGAAATTAGTCAACTATGGAGGCTACTCTTAACACTTTAATTTAATGTCCATTAACGTTATTAAGTGCCAAAAATTCAACGGTACTTTTGGAGTTTGAACCCAACCTTCAATAAGTACCTCTCCAAGCGGCAATGTATCCTTATTCTTTTGTTTCCAGTCACTTTCTGATGGCATCCTCTGTTCCAAAACTATTGCTTGCAATCAATTTCATAGCCTTTTTCTCCATTTATCTTCCTTCCTCAACGGCTTCTGTAGCTGCTATAGCTAGAGATCGAGAAATAGAGGCAGGGAAAGAGGCAAGGGCTCTTCTACAATGGAAAAACAGCCTTGACAACCAAAGCCAAGTTATTTTGTCTTCATGGGATGGAAGCAATCCTTGCAATTGGGTTGGAATTGCTTGTGATAATGCTGGCAGCGTCACCAATATAAGCCTGGGAAATTATAGTTTAAAAGGTACACTTCATAATCTCAACTTCAGTTTTTTTCCCAACTTAGTCAAATTGGGGCTTCACAATAACTTACTTTATGGAACCATTCCCTCAAGAATTGGTAATCTGTCCAAGCTCGCCTTCCTTGATTTGGCTTACAATGGTTTTTCTGGAAATATTCCATTAGAAATAAGCTTGCTGTCAAGTCTAGACCACCTTGCCATAGATCATAACAATATAAGTGGTACCATCCCCCAAGAAATAGGGGAGTTGAGGTCACTTTCTCAACTCTTTTTGCATGAAAATAAACTCCAAGGTAATATCCCTTCTTCTATAGGGAATTTGAGCAACTTAGTTAATCTCTATCTCGGTGACAATGAACTCTCTGGCTCCATTCCTGAAGAACTAGGGATGCTAACATCTCTTCACTTGTTTGATTTAGCAAGGAACCATCTTACTGGTAGCATCCCTTCTTCCATAGGGAACATGACCAGTTTAGCATTTCTTTACCTTTTTAGCAACGAACTCTCCGGTTCCATTCCCACAGAGTTAGGAATGCTCAGGTCTCTCTATCAGCTGCAACTGTGGAATAATAGTCTCACTGGTAAAATTCCTGATTCCATAGGAAACTTAAGCAGCATGGACCGACTTCACCTTTTCATGAACAAGCTTTCTGGTCCCATTCCTTCAGGAATAAACAACATTACCCATTTCAAAAGTTTTCAATTAGCTGTGAATGAACTAACAGTAAATTTACCAGAAAACATGTCTTGGTGGATTGCTTGAGATACTCACTGTAGAAAACAACCATTTCACTGGCCTCATACCAAAAAGTTTGAAAAATTGCACCAGCTTAATAAGAGTTAAGCTTGAAGGAAACCAACTTAGTGGAAACATAGCTGAAGATTTTGGTGCATACCCAAGCTTGAAGTACATTGATTTAAGTTATAACCAATTGTTTGGCGAGCTATCTGACAAATTGGGACAGTGCCACAATTTGACAAGCTTGAAAGTTTCTGATAATAACATCTCTGGTCAAATACCACCTAACCTTGGGGAAGCAAGTCAGCTACAAATACTCGACCTATCCTTAAATCATTTAACAGGGGAGATTCCAAAGGAACTTGGAAGTTTGACATCACTGAACATCCTTTTGCTTGATGAAAACCTGTTATCAGGTAACTTTATCCTGGCAATTCAGATGCTATCTGCTTTGCAAAGCCTTAGCCTCGCAGCAAACAATATGAGTGGTTCAATTCCCAGACAACTGGGACAGTGCTCAAATTTACGTTACTTGAACTTAAGTAGGAATAAGTTTAATGAAGACATCCCCTTTGAGATTGGCATATTACAATTCCTCCAGATTCTTGATCTCAGTCATAACATTTTGACAGGACAACTACCGTCTCAGCTTGCACAACTGCAACGCTTGGAGACATTAAATATTTCCCACAACAGAATTTCTGGTTCGATTCCATCTGCTTTTGACAACATGTTGAGTTTGACATCTGTTGATATATCCTATAATCAGTTTGAAGGTCAACTTCCCAATTCTAAAGCCTTTAGCGAAGCTCCATTTGAAAGATTGAGAAACAACAAAGACTTATGTGGAAATTCCACTGGTTTGAAGCCTTGCTCCTTTGCAAGCCAAAATCCTCGAGGAAAAAGGAGTAACAAAGTCCTATTGATCTTAGTTCTTCTCTTTGGCAGTCTAGCTCTTTTATTTGTCATTGTTGGGGTATTGTTAATTCTTCGGAAAAGAATAAGGGACAAAGAAAAAGTATCAAGAGAAGCACAAACTGGAATTCCCTTCACATTATGGTGCTGTGATGGAAAAATAGAGCATTCCGACATCATTAAAGCAACAGAAGGATTTGACTCGAAACATTGTGTTGGAGAAGGAGGATTTGGAAGTGTATACAAAGCTGAGTTGCCAACAGGTGAAGTCCTTGCTATTAAGAAACTCCATACACAACCAGAAGGTGGAATGACCAATCTAAAAGCTTTTACAAGTGAGATTCATGCATTAACTGAGATAAGACATCGCAACATTGTGAAGCTTTATGGTTTTTGTTTGAATCCAGAGCACTGCTTTTTGGCTTATGAGTTCTTTAAAGGTGGGAGCTTGGAAAAGTTGTTAAGCAGTGAGGAAAAAGCAATGAAGTTTGACTGGATCAAAAGGATAAATGTTATTAAAGGTGTGTCATATGCTTTGTCCTATATGCATCATGATTGCTCCCCTCCCATAGTCCATCGGGACATATCAAGCAAAAATGTTCTACTGGACTTAGATTACGAGGCTCACATCTCTGACTTTGGCACAGCCAGGCTTCTAAAATCTGACTCATCCAACTGGACTTCATTTGCTGGAACCTTTGGATACTCGGCCCCAGGTCACTGCTCACTTCTCTTTTTGGTTTCCTGTTTCTTTTTTTCTCCCTTCATTCAAAGGTGGTGTTGATGGCTCTCTTTCCCTATTTATCTTCATTTAAGTTGCAAATTTTAAAGCTATGATGCATGGCTGGCTGTGTTCTGGTTTCTGTTGGCTATGTTTTGAATAAGAAAAGTATACAACCCAGTTGAAGTAAATGGCTTAGGAGTTGTATTCTTTCAACTTGGTTTGGAATAAAATTCAATTTATCCACAAAAATTTTCTTACTTCTTACAACTGAGTTTAATAATCGGTAATGCGTAGTGTCAAATTGAAAAGGCAAAGCAAGTGCATGAAAAGTATTGTCAGGAAATATACAGGGGCAGGAAGTACTCAATGATCATCTCATTTTCTTGCAGAGCTTGCATATACATTGGTGGTGAATGAGAAATGTGATGTTTACAGCTTCGGAGTGGTGACACTAGAAATAATCACGGGAAAATATCCCGGTGATCTGATTTCATCTCTATCATCATCAACTTACCATAATTTGCTATTCAAGGATCTTCTGGACCAGTGCATCTCACCTCCAACAAATCAAATTGTGGGGTATATTGTCTTCCTAATGAAGGCAGTTTTCTTATGCTTACATAGCAATTCAGAATATCGGCCAACCATGCAGCAAGTATCTCAATATCTATCGATTCCAAGGCCAGATTTCCAGGAGCAATTCCATATTATGACATTAGGTGAGGTGCTTGGTTTTCAAGCTGAAGCCTCAACTTCCTGAATTTGAGTTAAAAATTATAAGGAATCGTCAGTTAAATGCCAGTGAGAAAATATATGTATGTGTTCCTGGAATGTTATTTGTTTCTATGTACAATTTTTAGATTCTGAAATTCGACTCCAATAGTATTCTGGTGAAAAACCCATGCTCAAAAGTGAGGTTGTTTTCAGAGTTGGGCACAGCTGGAAAGCCTGACTCATCTAATAGGCTTCCAATTTGCTTGTTAAATTAGCATACATCATAAGATAAATTCTCTATCATTGTATTCATTCTTTGATCTAATTTACTGATTCATTACCCCTAGTTTTCACCACCAATCTTGAAATGTGCCCATTGCCATTGCTCTGCGATCATATTTTGTACCTATGGTCCCAATGTGGCAAGGTAATGCCACTGCCAGCCATCTAAATTCGATGCTCTAAAACAAGAAACCATTTTTAAAACTAGCAAATTGATCGATGGACTTGTAACTCTATGAAGATGAATGCTTTAAGCCATGAGAAGTTCTAATTTCATCACTCAGCTTAAAATTTTAAACTCTGAAACTTTATTTTTGTCACTGAGAATATGTAGCAAAGAGTACGAATAATTCTAATGTGTACAAGCTACGTGATGTATACAGTTTTGGACTTTAGAGAAGTAACAGTAACAAAAACAATAATGGTTAATGAGAAAGCAAAAGGGGTCTGCTTTTCTAAAAGATAATCAACATTTTCATCATGCTTTGCAATTAGCATTCTTTTTAAAAAGGTATAATGGGGTGATGTCAACCACTTTGCAATTAAAATTCTTTTTAGAAAGGTATAATGGGGTGATATCAACCAAAATAGTGTAAAGATACTTTGTTTAGGAAGTGATTCATCTAAATGCAATTTTTACACTTTATAAACAATGTAAAAAATGTTTAATCTACAATATCATTATAATTTTGATAATTTTAAATAAACATGATAATAAAACATGAAAATGATATAAAAAATCAAAGTCATTTGAATTAAAATTTACATAAAAATTATATATAAATTTAATAAAAATTAAAATATATATTTTATATTTTATATGTAACATGAATTTAACATAATAACTTGCATACTTTATACTATTTAATATGAAATAAACGAGATAGCAATAAAAAGAGTAAACCCTATATACATACTATTTGATTTGTGATTTTTCACATACATCTTTATGAAATATTTTTTCATTTATAATTTTATAATTCATTTCCGTTTTCAAAAAAAATAATGGTGTCAAAAATAAAAATAATTTTATAATTTTATTAAAATTTAATTGATTTTTATACCGCTATATACATAAGTACAAGTAAGAATAAAAATTTTGAAAAATTGTAAGTGAAAAAATCGAAAAAACTATGGGTGCATGTGTAGTTTACTTCACACCTTTAAAAAAAAAAAAAAGGGACTAGGAGAAATAGAAGCAGAGTGATTATCAACCACACCATATTACCGCAAATATCTCCAAGGTTATTGCGATGACGTGGCTCCCAATTATCGATCAGGTTTGACCCTACTAAGCCGATAACGATGTACTGGCAGGTTGCAACGTAGCATTCGTCGAGAGTACTCACGTGACAAAAGAAGAATTAGACGCGGTATATCCTGACTTACATTGCCCTTAAATTCCTACCAGCTTCTCGTTTTCGATTCTAAACAGAGACAAGGAACAGAGGAAGAAAGGGAAAAAAAAAAAAAAAACAATGGCGACTCTTACAGTGCCCTCGACAGTTCCATCTCTATCTCAAGATTGTGAACAACTAAGAAAAGCCTTTGAAGGTCCCTCCTTTTTCAACTTATGTCGTTTTATTCTTTCTCCCTACGTACATTGTTCTCTTATGTTGATCTAACTCTGTATACGTTGATCTTCTCACTACAATATTGATCGGATCAAACTTTTTGGTATGATCTATATCGATTAAACCTTCTCTTGGTTGATTTTAGAATTGAAAATGGTTATCATTGTTACACCGAAAGATTTTTTTTTTTTTGGGGGGGGGGAGGTGTTGATCTTGGGATGATCTGCCAAGATTTGTGAAGATTGTGTTGAAAAATATAATCATCAAATGATAATGGCCTTATATTGGTTAAACGAGTCGCTTTATATTTGAATGCCTGATGATCTGTTTTGTTTATACTGAGGCTTAGTAGTTGATCTTCAAAATTCTGTTTCCCTAGATCAGTTTGATGATCTGATGGTATGATTTTGTGGTCCTTTAAAATTTATATCTGACCATGAATTTGTTCTGGCATATGGGACCCTGTATTAGTCTTTTGATGCGCAAAAATAGACAAATACATGCCATTGCTAATGATCAGTTTGAGTTTCAAAGATCGAACAGAGAAAGAGTTGAAAACTTGAATCAGGAGTATATGGGTATATATTTTGTAATCTGGGAGTGAATATGTAATTTTTCTGTGAAAAATGGATGTTTGGGTTTGATCAGTTTGGGTTTCAAAGATCGAACAGAGAAAGAGTTGAAAACTTGAATCAGGAGTATATGGGTATATAATTTGTAATCTGGGAGTGAATATGTAATTTTTCTGTGAAAAATGGATGTTTGGGTTTTTACTTCAATGACTTTTTTCGATTTGAAGCTACTACGTTGCATAATCTCCAGTCTAACAAACAAAAATAAACGGCCAGAATTTTGATCCTAAACTTTTAGTTGTCTTTTTATGAGGCAGTTTCTCCGTACCTTGATGTAAAGCTTGATCGATGTTTGTTGCAGGATGGGGAACTAATGAGGGCTTAATCATAGAAATATTGGGTCACAGAAATGCTGAGCAACGTAAGTTGATTCGACAAACTTATGCTGAAGCCTATGGAGAAGATCTCCTCAAGAGACTGGACAAGGAACTCTCAAATGATTTTGAGGTCAGTTTGAAAAAGCACTTTATTCACTGGTACACAGTATGCTACAAACTTATTTTATTTCCTTGAATGATGGATAACCGAAGTTGCCTTCATGAGTCCTTATCTTTCAGAGGGTGGTACTGCTTTGGACTCTTGATCCTCCCGAACGTGATGCATTTTTGGCTAATGAAGCAACCAAAAGGTGGACGTCAAGCAATCAGGTCCTCATGGAAATAGCCTGCACACGGTCTGCTAACCAACTACTTCATGCAAGGCAGGCTTATCATGCTCGTTATAAGAAATCGCTTGAAGAGGACGTTGCTCATCACACAACTGGTGACTTCCGTAAGGTGCGTACATCTTTTAGACTATTAGCACTGTGAGAGAACATCCGTACTTTGAAATGTACTTTCTTCATGAAACTTTTATGCTTAAATAACAGATTTTTATCATTAACTTTTTTTTTTTTTTTCCATTCACCAAACATCACTTATGCCTGTAAAATTTCTTGTTCTTCTTTTTTACCTGAAGAAAGCTCTGGGGAAACCTATGAAATAAGAGCTAGCATTTACGTTTTGGTAAATTTTTACTGCTTAATTTATGACATTGATGGAAAATAATTATTGTTAACAAGAACATCTCTTTTGTTGTTTTGAACGCCATTTCTACATGGGTCAGAACAGGCCGTCACTCCATGGTCAGTCACAATCAAATAGAAGCAGCTTTAATAGGAAAAATAACACATAATCAAACTCTGGGTTCATTAGAAGGATGCTTAAGTTATTTATCAAATTCTCAACGGTGTTTTGTCCTCTCTCTCCTTGTTTATTATATTGGTGGGTCAATGATGTTTTTATTGTTTGTTTTCTGTTGTGAATGACTGCTTATTTCTGTGTCTTAATTCCTTCCCAGCTACTCCTACCTCTTGTGAGCGCATACAGATATGAGGGAGATGAGGTGAATATGACTCTAGCAAAATCAGAGGCCAAGTTACTCCAGGAGAAAATTTCACACAAAGCTTACAATGATGATGATCTTATCAAGGTTTTGGCTACAAGAAGCAAGGCACAGATCAATGCAACTCTGAATCACTACAAAAATGAGTATGGAAATGATATGAACAAGGTAAAAAGATGGATTGAGATTGTGCTTCCTTTGCCCCCTCTACTCAAGACTTTGTTATCTTTTGCATATGGTATTTCAAGGGGTATTTACTTTTCTAACAAAGGCCGATTGTTTCTCAATAAATCTTCTTCTTACTCATCTCAATATTGAGCATGTTGACCAAATGATTTAGATCATTAGACAAAAGTATCAATATTGTAGGCTACACAAAACATAGGCTTCAGGCTATTTATGCCTCCTGAATTGGCTACTTTATACACTTGAGATATCCAGTCCCTCTGATAAAGTTTCTTTGGTCTTTGCCTCTCCCATCTGCAGGACTTGAAGGCTGACCTTAAGGATGAGTTCCTTGCACTACTGAGGGCCACAGTGAAGTGCTTGACCTGCCCTGAAAGGTATTTTGAGAAGGTTCTTCGTCTGGCAATTAATAAAAGAGGAACAGATGAAGGAGCTCTGACAAGAGTTGTTACCACTAGAGCTGAGGTTGATCTAAGGATCATAGCAGATGAGTACCAGCGAAGGAACAGTGTCCCACTGGATCGTGCTATCGACAAGGACACTCATGGAGACTATGAAAAAATGCTTCTGGCACTCGCAGGACATGTAGAGGCTTAAGCTGTTATCATGAGATGATTTTCTATCGAGTATTATGTCTATGACCGAACCATTATGGTCTTGTCTGGCTATGATGTGATCCTGTTTTTCTGAGTCCTAAGCTGTCTGAGAATTTTATCTATGTTACCTAAAACTATATGCAGGAGTATGTTTATGCTCGAAGAATTAATCTTCTGTATGTTTGTTGGTCTTATCGAATATCCAGCAGAAGCCAGTACCTGTCAATATTAATCTTTTTTTTAATCCTTGATCATGCAGTAATGCTGGTAACTGATCTTGATAAGTATTATATGGTAATGCACAGTCAACAAATGTGATGCTAACTGATCTTTCAGATCAGTGCAAGCAAATTAGCAAGTGAATGATCAAACGATTAATCTTTACAAACATGTCTATGCCCCTAGTTTACAATGACCTAAAAGAAAGAAACAGGAAAAAAAAATTACTGATTGGAGAAAGTATGGGGTGAAAAAAAGAAAGTCTATCCTGTTTCACTTTGAACGTTATATCTCTGATAATTGTAATTATTGGTATCTTTCTGCATCATCCCAAATTGCAAATCCAATGAAACGCTCAATGCCACAGAACTGTTATCTTTCATCAGCATATCTGTTTTCTCAAAAAAAAAAATTTCTATAGTACTTGACATCTATTCCAATCAAGTTCCCTTAAAAAAAGCTATTTAAGTATCTCCATATTCAAAATGAAGAACAGATGCAACCTAAGAGAAATTTGGGAATCAGATTTGCAATATTCCTAGCCAGAAATGCAGTCTTAAACCTGACAAAATATCATACATCCAAAGTTTGGATCAACAAGACAACAACAAAACAACAGATTAATACAAGTTGCAACTACATAATAAACAACTAGAAGCAAAATTTTCTTCTACATCCTTAGGACTCTCGGAGGTGATCCACTGATCTGAAGCTATAAGCCTTCCACCAAGACAGCTGCAGCATCAGAATTTCATGTACATTCTATATCTAGTAATCCAAGGACGTGACTACTTATTTGTAGTGAACAGCTAGCAACTTTGGAAGCACAACAACAATGGCAAAGTAACTCCCATCACTTTTTCAGGAGGTTCCGTGAGAAAATTCTCTTGCAATATGGACTGGTACGCAAAATCGTGTGAGGTCGGACAGCTTCAACTAGAGAAGCATGAAGAGGACCCTGCTCGAGACAAATGTTTTACGTGATGAAAATCATACATCTTCATACAAAGCCACATACTTGACAAGAGATGAAGATAGCTACTACTAGAGATTTCATTCAAATTTGAACAAATACTGTCAAAGCATGAAAATGACAAGTGCCCATACCTTGGTTACTACTAAAGCAGATTGAATGACATAGTTGGCAAATGGATCTTGCAATAATTGTTCAAAGTGGACAACGGAGATTAACTCACGGATGATTTGCGACCTACTCTCTGGAAAATGCTTGAGGCATTTTTCAACCACATGACTGCTAAATTTCTGCATTGATAGGTGAACATAGTGCCCTTTGAATTGAGAAAGCAAGTTGCCAATAGTAGAGGGGACCTTTAGCTCTATAATGTACTGAACAACATAATTTCTGTTTCAGAAACAAAAGAAGACTACAAATCAGAGAGAAAATAAATTAAACTAATTAATTAAAAATCCATGATAGAAGAAAGCTTCTTTTATCTGGGGGATGCCAGGTGGGGGAGGGGGCGAGGGAAGGAATGACATTTTAGAAAACATACTCCTTTAGTCATGATAAAGAACTATTTTTATGATGAAATCCTCCTCTAGTCAACCATGATTTTATCAAAATTCATTTTATGAGAGAATTAATAGATCATATATGTTTCACAGAATGCATCTATTTCTAATGTAACAGAGTTCTTGTTGGAGGGTTTTTTTTTTTTTCCCGTTTCCATACCTGATATGTACAGTACAGAAAATAAGGAAAAAAGAGACATAAAGAATTCTGATTGTAGATAATGCAAAATCTGCCACATATCATGAAGAATATGTTTAGAAAAGACACAAAAGCTGAACCAAAAAGCAGACTGCATTGTTATTCATAGCTAACTAATTATAAGATTGCTAATTCATCTAAATTAGATAAATGAGATGTAAGCAATTACCAACAAGTTCTTGAAACACAAAGCATATCAGGCACAACTTGGTATTCAAGAGGTTAGCTTGTCATATGTATTCTCAATACCAAGTGAGTACAAGCCATGCTCATTTGATATAATTTAGAAGGATCACAAATGGATGGAGAATTATGTTTACTAAATAAACCTATGACTCTCAGAAACCTGATCTGTAGGTCATAGAAAATCCCAAAGAATTGTGTTTACATACATGCATCTTTACATGAGGATTCAACTACTAGTTTTGTGACGATATTATTCATTAGCTTAAAAAATTATATAACTACATAATGAAGCAACTGATTTTTTTTTTTATGATTGATACAATTCATTAGCATGACAATCATATAAATAATTAAATACATAAGTGGATTGATTTTTCATTAACCCTGATCCAAGTTAGTGATCAAAACCTGCAATAAGAATCTTATTTGTTAGGAAACTAGGAAGAAAGAACCAAACAATAATATCTTGGCTTATTACCCAAAAGGATCTTGAGCAAGAAGAAGTCCATTTCTGGAAATTTGGGTAATTAGCTTATCTCGATGCTGCCCATTGGAATGAGCAATGCAGCGTTGCAACACACAACATCCATGACGATGAGTGGCAATATCTACGCAAAATTTTGCAGCAGCATCAAAAATAATCTGCATTGGTAGTTGACAGAAACAAAGGACCAAAAAGGTTTAAGAATCAAACTTGACTAAAAAGATATGTATCAGGTCATATGAAAATGCATAGCATCAAAGTAGAGACTGAATTTTTAACACAGGAAATGCACCAAAGCATATTTCTGGAAGAATCTACATAGAAAGGGCATATGAGGAGATATAGGATATAATTTTCAGAGAGCTGACAGGAAACCAGCTTAGTTCCTGCCATTTTAATTAAACCTTTGTTTAGGTGAACAAAGGGATAAGATGAAGCAGCTACTGCGTAAAATATGTGTCAATTATGACTGGAAGCAAGAAATTATAGTCTTTAGTTCACGACTCAAAACAAGGGCGCCTGACCAATTTTGTAAAATTGGAAGCTAAAAGATGTTCTCCCAATGGACTAAGAAATCTTCAAGAATCATGTGTTGGTTTAGTTATTGTCTATCGCACATCCTATTATAGCCTGTCATAGGTTGGTTTATCCCATGGAAAGAATGTTCATATTAATAAATATTCAGAATGATGGAACAGATTCCTTCATACTGGCTCTTTGCATTCATGTTACTTGCTTGTCATGCATCGGCAATATGCTAATACCTGTAATTAAGCCTGCATCTAGAAGAAAGGTTTCTGCCTGTTTAGAAGGCACACCTACCAAACAAAGAGTTAAATTATAGTGCAGTCTCAAAATACACACACAAAAGGCACCCTGCATCGACCAAGAGAAGAAACATGTTCAAAAAAAATGAGAAAGATTGTTGTGGTCTTTAATCTTCTAATTTTGCATTGCATCAAACCAAGGTATGCCTCTAATTGGTATCAGCGACTAAATTAAGTGCATAGGTGATAGGCCATATGATAAAGACCTCCAAGATAACTATATAATTTTCTTTAGAAGACTTGAGTGCCCTTGTCAAGATGAAATCAATGGCAACAAGACATCTGTCCAAATAATTAACTGGAGATATACCATGTAGTAGGTTGCCATGATGAAATGAGACTGTAGTTGATGGCCAAAATTTTTTAAAGCAGTTCCTATTGATGTAATTAGTGAGCCTACAACATACTATTCAAACAAACAAAGTTGGATGAGTAAACATCATTTAATGCAATACATTAGATTTATGTTGCAAAAGAAGTAAATTAAAGAATGCAAAATATGCATTTTGAGATTTGAAAATTGAGTTATCAACAAAAAGCAAACCCATGATGTTATTATAAAATGACCTTCACAACATATTAAACAGATATTTGTGAATCACACATGAAAATGCTTCATTTTAGAGAAAACTATGATTCTAAATAACCCAAAATATAAAGAACATAGAATGTGCATGATTAGGATGATTTATGAGAACTAGTATTGAAACTCAGAAGTTAATTCTCCCTCATTATTATACCTTATTATCTTCATTGTCAAGGCATTGCAAGCAGCGCTGCAACACATGATTTCCATTGAGATCCTTGATAAGATCAAGAATTCCAGGTTTAAGAGCGGATTTGATAAGAGAAATCTGTTGTCTGGATTTGAGAGTCTCGATCAACTTCTGTACCACACGTGTACTGAAATATAGCAGTAAATTCACTTAGTAACAAGTATATTTAGGAAGAGAAGATATGGGGGAGAAAAAAAAGAGCAAAGAATATCACTAAAAGAACAGAGAATGAAAAATTAAATTATAATGAAGCTGTTACCCATATGTGTTCAAGGAAATCCTCACTAGTTGCCCTGCTTCTTTGGTCACCATGAGAACAATCTGCAGTCTTTGTTCTTCAGTACACACATCCAGCAATTTTTGCACGAGATAGTTTCCAAAGGGATGCATCATAAGTTCAACGATATTGTCAATAACCTCATTGAATATTATTTGCACATCTAAACAGCTTCCTTCATCAAATATCCTCTGTAAGAAGCGACAACCATTCTGGTCTTTAGCCATGTGATATATACAACCTTGAAACTCAACCAAGCAATACGGACTTGGGATCAGTCGCACATTTTCTCCATGAATTTTATCAAGTTTAGAGCTTTTCTTTTGAAGGTTTTGCATTGCAATCTCTTTGAGAAACTTTTTCTTATGACACTTGAATGAAACATGGCCCTTGTTGTCCATATCATACTTCAAATCTCTTCCTTGAATGATGACACTCTGATCCTCTACATTCTCCTCAAGAGGAATCTTACTGTGCAAGAACCTAGGAGAACTCGAAGAATCAATAACAGCTCTACCTCCATTACCATCCATTCCACATTGCTGTGAGCAAACAAAAGGATCATCAAGGGAGGGCTTATTGCTAAAAGCATTGTGTAACAGAATTCCCCTATTATCCAGAATCCTACCCTGTTCCATTCTCTGCTCGGAAAGATAGTTTCTATGGTTATTATGCCAACTCGATTTTGAAGACAAATCATTAGACTGATTGTAACTAATACTGTGAGACCCCAATGAATGACCCTTTTCGTATCCACTCTGCAAACCAAGCAATGTGGACCTGATGACATCATTACCATCAGAACACATAGAAACTTGTTGTGGAGAAGATTGAAACCCTTCGTTAAAACCTTCATATGAACCATATTTTTCAGCATTATAAGAAAAAACATCACCAAAACTAAAGCCAAAACCATCTGGGTCCCTCTCAAATCTCCTCATTAGACCAGAACCATCTCTGTCTCTTTCTTCATCTCGAATATGCATTTGATATAGATTCTCACACAAGCCAAAACCATCATCGACCAGCTGTTTTTCATTGACATTCTTATTTCTGAAATGAGAATCAAATGATGATTTAGAATCCAACCAGAGTCCATAATGATGAAACTTGGGTTGTTGTTGGTCTTCAAATAGTGAACTTTCTTCGGGTGAAGAAGAAAACCCATTAGAGAAAGAGCTTGAAGGAGAAGGAGAAACTCTGCTCGTTGTTGAATGTTGTTGAAGATTGAGAAATGTAGGAGCTTGAGGGATCTCACTCAATAAACTGTCAAGCTCACTATTTCTCTTCGTGTCCCTTGTCATCATCTTCTCCTTCTTCTCACCCAGTTTAAACATCTTCCCAAAAAAAAAAAAAAAACAACCTTTTATAGATACGAAGAGAATATTTTATAGGAAAACAAAGAACCAATCTTAAAACCCAATACGCAAATATGATTTTTTATACTAAACAAAGTTGATAAAAGAGAAGAATACAGAAAGCTCACAGGGGAAAAAAAAAGAAAAAACCGTTTCCCTTTTAGTTGAAGATTGTCTCTTTGATTGATTTGGCTTTTGGGGTTTTTTTTTTAAGAGAAAAAAAATAAAAAATGATGGATTTTTTTTTCTCTTCTTATCTTGACGGTTACAAAAAAAAAAGTGTACGGAAAGGTTATTGTTTAAGCTCTCGCCATTGCAGTGAGGAAAGTCGGTACTACACTGTGAGTGAAAAAGGACAAATAAAAAGAGAGAAAAAAAATAAAGATAAAGAATGTTACTTGTAAAACGTGAAATTAGACTTCTTTTAGGTTTGTTTTTGGATTTTTTTTATTTTCAGTATTTATCTAGAAATTCAAAACAGAATGCTAACCTCCATAGCAATAAAGATTGCTTGATTTTCTCAGTAGTAGTTTGATTACTTGACCTAATTTTTTAATGGAACTAAAATTAACAATATCCATTTTGTTTTTATTGCTGAAAACAAGGAATAAGAATTTTATAACCATTTATCTGTTGAAATTTTGGGACATTCGTGCAAAATCCGATGGTTAACTTGTGGGGTGTAATTTGATCATGAAATTGACCTTTGATGTCTATGCTAAAGCTAACCACATCAGATAACTTACCCCTCTAATATTAATTTTTTGAAAGAATTTTAGCCTACACGTTCACACTTTGAACTCTTTAATTGATATTAATAAGATATTATCTAATTAAATTCCTTTGAATCCGTAAATTTTAAAAATCTAACCGAAAAAATCAACGAATCGATGTCATGTCAGGGTTGAAAGCTGGGCCAAGTTTCCAATGTAATTGTTATAAGCACAGGAATAAAAGTCAGGCACTAACATTCATTGATCAATATAGTTTTATCATATTGGTCAAATCAAAAACAAAAGGATGAGAGCACCTTTTTCACGAAATGGGAAAATATGCTTTATTTTAAAAAGATTAAGCCAGTGGATTCATCTTTTAACTAGATGGGAATAATGGGCCAGGATGATCTCGTCAAAACCAAATCAATCTTTTGGATTTTCTTTTACTAGGGAAAATTGAGGAGTATATATATATTACGAACATATTCTTACAAATCAAATGCAAGCTACAGATGCAAAACCAGGCATTCGAATGAATTTCAATTTGAAATTTTAAGTTGCAACATAACAGTTCAGCTTCATTTTAATTTTAATTATTATAATTTTTGTTATTTGCTTTATTTTTCTCAAAAAAAAAAAAAGTAAGACTGCCAAAAGAAAATTGTAATTTCATTTTTTTAGTTAACGTTAAAAATATCCCATAAACTACAATGAAATATTAATATGATATTTAAATTATGAAATTATTAATTAATATGATATTCACTTTTAATTATATTAGTTTCAAATGATGAGACATATTAATTAATAAATTTATCGTTTAAATTTCACATTAAAAATTTTTTAAGTTAAAATATCATATTAAATATTTTAATATAATTTAAAATCATTCATGATATTTACTTTTTTTATAAAAAAATTTAAATTTTTAAAAAAGTTCAACATTAGTTTATATCTAATTAACCGATGCTTATAGACATTAATTAACATTTTCCTTTACCAATGTCACTAAACATTAATTAACTTTTTCCCTAACCAGTGTCACTAAACACTAATTAATTTTAATCAATTATATGATTTATTTTTTAACCTTCTATTTTATATACCATTTTTAAAAAATAATAAATAAAAACACTAACCAATCAAATGATAATAAAAATTTGTTCTGTATTTGCCACTGACTTGTACCATTTGCATTTGCCCAAAAACATGTAAACAAACAGGTACCAGACAGCAGTGACCACTAAACTAAGACGAAGGTATTGACAAAAACGTGGCACTGATCGATTAATCATACCCATGCACTCCTTAAATGCCAAATTCCATTTTGCCAAACCAACAGCTTGCTGATTGTCAGATATGAGACAATGATATGGACATTAATGGTTCAGTCACCCCTCTCAAGTCTCTCACCCTGCCACCTACCATCTCCATTCCCCCTATCTTCGACAAATTGGTCAGTGCTGATTTAACCCGAGAAATGGCACCAATTTGAGGCCATTTGAACAACTCCCTAGCTCTTCTTCCGAGTCACTGCCTCCAATTAAAAACAAATAAATTGACCCTCAGACTTTATCCTAGGATGTTTTGATGGTCAAATACTCTCAATTCAACGAAAGGGGGGTTTAAATTAAGAGCTTAACAAAATAAGTCCAAATATGTAGGTCAATTAAGAACTCACACAAACAATATAATTATAAAATGTAGCACTAAGCAATAAAAATTAAATCTGAAACAGCCCAATACCTTCACCAAGATGGGACTGAAAAACACAAGATTATGGACAAACAAAGCAATTAGCATAGGTAGGTCCATAGCTCAACTTGACATGTTAAACCTAAAACATAATGCCCCAAACCCAGAATGAAAATGTCAAATAATATAATTATAATCACACCCCCACTAAAGATAACAGAAAACACCAGACACACTAGAGCAAAATGATGGAGTTAGGCCTAAGATGTTAAACCAAAGCAATGCTGCTTTCGCCGCCAGGGGGTTTGCGTACACCACCAAGGTAGTCTCGAGACTCCACCTTCCCATCAGCAAAGATGTTGCTGCCACTCATCTCCCGTAGTTTTGCCACACTGAGTGGTTTCTCAGCAGAACCTGGAGGAACATCACCCTTAAATATGTCATTTCCTGAAAGCTCAGCAAATTTCTTATTGTCGATTTTCTTCGCTGTCTTAACCGCAGTCTCCTCACTTGACATGCTACCTCCAGCAGGCTACAAAATAACGTCCAAATTTAACAACCAATTAGATATTCAATTTTAAATTATTGATGCAAAAGCCACTTAATGACAAACTTAAGTATTTGAATGATTGCAACAGGCAAACCTCATTTAGGAACTACTCTGTGTAAGTAAAATTGAAGCACACAGTCAGAAATGCAAATCTCCTACTTACTAACATTTTTCCAAACCCAAATATAAGGATGCTAACTATCTTAGGTGCAATTTGTTGCACAAATAATCTCAACCAAAAGAAAAAAAGCATACCATAGTCCATTAGGCACGATTTGTTAATAAATTGACAAAATTTACCAAGTTAGGAGTTTTAACAGTTACTTACATTATGTAGATCAGGTTCGCCCATGTCAAAATTGTCCTTCAATGCCAATGCACGTACAGTTGTAGGCCTCGGTAAAATTTCAGGTGGGGGAGCAAAGATGTCATGTCCACTAAGCTCTTTACACTTTGCATCAGAGAGCTGCTTCTTCAACTTTGCATCCTCACTTTCTAGTGTTCCACTTAGCTCACGCTGTTTCGCCACCTCAGTAAGAGTAGTTGGCTTTCGTGGGGAAATACTTTCTTCCTCGGCAAATGAGATGTGACTGATTCCAGCTAGTGCTTGCTGATAGTACCAAACATCAAAATATTTAATAATACATTACTTGATACAAATATATTATGTTCTAAACATTGGTATGAATTATTAATATCCACATCCCCATAACAGAATTTGAAAATGAAAGAATTGAAAGCATACCTGGTACATTCGTAGTCCTGTTTTGCTGTTTGGAGTGGGATTGGCACTGCCTGGTTCTGATTCATCATTTTCTCCATTGGCTGCAAAAATTCCACTACCGGTCATCTCCTTCATTTTATATCCAGAGCAAGGTTTCCTGCAAATTGCAACAGATGAATAAGAAGCATAAAACCAAAATGCACAGCCACCAAGAACATGCAAAATTGATCAAGGCACAAATTTGTTTTCTCATTCCACTAAAAGCTTAAGGTTTATTGATTTATCCTAACAAATCCCCTGGACAGTAGAAACAGTGACAAAGAAAAAAAAGAATCCAACAAATTTTGAACAGCCTCCCTGAGTTTCACTTAAGAACGCCAACGAAAAAACAAATCATAGTAAAACAAAAAGAAATGATTTTCAGACATTTCAGTGCTAACTGATTTGCAGATATGCATTAAAATCATCTAGTAGCATTAATAATTCCGAGAAGTAAGAGCATTTTATCCGATTCAGAAGACATGATTGATTTGGTACGTTAGAAATAGTTACAGTCGGTACAATTAGATCTCCTTTAACGGTTGGTACAGTGGATCAGAGCGGAGATCCGATGGATCACCAATTACCGGTTGACAAATAACAGCTAAAGAAAAATTAATCACGGACAATTGAACAGATCAAACTTCAAAATTTTAAACAACGAGCAGATTTGAAGGAAATTTTTCTTTTTTCTTTTTCAAAATTTACAAAACGGTACTTTAGATAATAGCGAGATAATGGTAGAAACAATTTTTTTTTTTTTTTAAAAGCACAAAGTGCGTAATTCTAGTAACAGCCCAGAGTTTCTAAAAGTATATTTATATAATATAATATAATATAATATATATATATATAGAGCTAAAAAGTTTTCAAATAAATTTAAAAAGAAAATGAAGATATTTTTTAAGGAGAGGAAGAAGGTGGAAGCAGATTTCACCGTTTGTTTAAGCTTTCAAATTCTTCATCCGTCACTTGACCTCCAAACACCACTTTTCTGATCCCATCGGACGGCTGCCATTAATCGGAAAAAAAATCAATCAAAAACACTAACTCACCTACCAAAAAAAGGTTTTTTAAAAAAAAGAATAGAAAAGGAAAGGGGAAAGAACCTGGTGAGGGCGAGTGGAGCGAGGGGCGGAGGCAGGGGAATCGGGTTGAGGAGTTTCGGACCAAGTGAGCAGATCTGCTGTGGAAGTGTGTGGTTTCCTCACTGGAGTGCTCCTCTCCATTTTTGTTTGGGTTTTTCTCTAATTCCACTCTCAAAACTACCAAAAAATAGAAATGCTTCTGATTAAATAAACCAAAAAAGGAGAACCACCTTCGATTCCTCCGTTTTTACGCCTTTTCTGCAACAACAGCAACAACGAAGGGCACTGTTTTTAGAACTTTGAAAGAGTGAAGAGAATGAAATGAAAGAAAACGGGATCTGAGAGAAAAAGAGCGAAATGACGAACCTGTCCTACTCTTGACCCTCCCTTGATCTGGAACTTTCCTTCCTTCTCGTTTTTGCCTTTGGCTTTGAATTTTGATCTCACCCTCACCTTTTTTATGTTTTAATTTTTGAATTGCTTAAATATATTAAAATATATATAGTGAAAAGAGTTGGAAGAAGAGTAGAGTAGAGTAGAGTGGCTGCTACTCTACTCGAGTTTTAAAACAAAAGAACAAAATTTTAAAAACCAAATATAAAATTAAAAAAAAGAAATGAAAATGGTGAGGAACGCAGCCACCGGGTCGACTTTCTCTCTCCACTTCCACTTGGTGGTGTACTGATTTTTGAATCTTGTACCGCCCTTTTGTCCGTGATTTTCCTTTTTTTTTTTGTTTGGTTGGCCTTTTAAATGCCGAGCATGTGCGCTCAATTCCACCGCTACGTGTCAGTTCGATGGAGCAATTTAACTGATTTAACCGGAATCTGATACCCCTTTGAGATTTTTTGTTGGATTTTTTTGGCCATTTCAATTTTGAAGTATCCCTTTTTTCCGATATTTGATTTATTATCTTTTAATTTAAACTTATTGAATTTGAAATCTTTTTTAATTTATAAATTTAGTGTTTAAAATTGAAGATTTTAAATTTGAGAAGACAATGAATTTGAATTTGGTTGATTCAAAGTTTAAATGAATTTAAATTTTAAATTTCAACTATATTATATAAAAATTTTAAAAATATTACATAAATTAATTAAAATAAAATACTATCTCAATCATCAAAGCTCTTTAGGTTGGTGCTTTTCGTGAATTCACCTATTGTATTAATGAACGGTTAATAATAGTAGTAACATGCGCAATATTTTACTTTCTTACCTCAAATTGGCTGTCATAATTGACTTAAATTTTGCTTCAATTGGAATAAAAAATTGTACTAAAGAGAAGTTGGTTGATTAGTTTTGAAACGTCAAACTTTTATGTCATTTAATAACTGGAAATGTAATGAATGCATCAATTACGGGACTTAATATACCCACAACTAATTAACATGACAAAATCTTAAATTTGTTTTGTCAGTAGGATTAAAGTGTTATTGCAAAAATTGATCCTTTAAATTAAAAATAAAAATTGATTTAAATAACAAACCATAGTTTTACGCCTTTATATAAAATTATTATATTTAAATTATTTTTTACTTTAAATAATAAAAAATAAAAATAAGATTTCATCTATCTTTTTTTTTTTGTCTTCATTTTACGTTTATAAACTTTAAGGAACAAATTTAACATTAGTACATTTTATGTTAAAATTTTAATTTTTTATAAAATTGATGTATAAAAATTTTAATGTCCAAAAATTAAAAAAATAAAAAACTTAACTCAAATGATTCATTTACCTCCTAAAATTATCGTAAAATTTATATTTGATTTTTAATACTTACAATTTTTTCTCATCTCATTAAATTTTAGCTTCTCTTCTATAAAAAAGAAAAATCATGAAAATTAATCTTGAAATATAAAAAAGTAAGAGAATTAAATGTTAAAATATTTTCATCGAAAGGGTTAAAAAGAAGAGCATATTTTTGAGACATTAAAAAATATGGACAAAAGAATTGAAATGAGTAGTAAGAAAAAAAAAGTTTAACCAATTTTAAGAATGTGAAGAGATGTGTAGGGTGAACGGTGTTAAAAGTCAATCATTTAGAGTTACTTGTTGAAGGTGAGCAAGATTAGGGATATAAATGAATATTAGTATTCGTAAGTTTTTTGAATTTGTTCGAAAAAATTTAATTCAGTTTGATTATTATCGAGTTGAGTTCGAGCTCGAGTAATTCGATTTATTGATCGAATTAAATTCGAGTATTCTTATATCCGTTTGAGTAACTCGTGAATCTAATCAAATTTTATATTTAAATATATTTTTATTATTTTAATTAATAAAATATTTCGAGTCGATTTGAGTTCGAACATGAATAATCGAACTCAAAAGACGAATCTTGCAATTAATTGATCCTTTGTGATGGTATCATTAAAAGTTTACAATGGTCGGGATAGCTTGCTCTCTTGCAATTATTTGATCCTTTGTGATGATCATTTTTACAACTAGTGGGCTTGTAGCTTCCACATTTGTCGTCCTCTCAATCCACTCTCTCCTCAGAAAAAAAAATTGTTTTTGTATTGTACAGGTAAAAATCATCAATACTAATAAAGTAAAGCCTGTCAGTATCTATCCATTTTTTTTTTTTTTCAGCTTCAAGAATTTGGTGCCATTTTCTTTTTTGATTGTGTTAAATTCTAGTAAATATTTCAAAATTTGAGAAAGAAAGATAAAAATAATGACCAAAATTAAAACTTTATGATTCTTTTAATTATTTAAAACTCGAATTATTAAGTTTTTTTTTTTTTACTCTTTATTATAAATATATATTATTAAATGTATTTCTTTTTGGTGGTATATATTGGTTTTGCAAAGTCGGGAAAATATAACATCATTTTCGGTTGCTTCTCCACCGCTCCACCCCATGTGAGCATTCAAGGAATTTTAGCCATTCATTTCACCACTGGAAGCCAAATCATTTGGTGGACCACCTTTTGCCTTTGTTTCACGTGCGGTGAAGAACGAATTCACTCAACTCTCTTGCCGATCTCCATCATCATGTCAAAAAATTTGGTACTCCATTTTATTCACTATCACTAATATAAATTAAATTTATGATTAAAGTTTTACTGATTTAAATTAAATATGAATATAAATATAAAATAATTAAAAATAATTTAAATAAATGTTAATCTTAAATTAATTAGAAAGTGCATTACTCACTCGTAAATAAAATAGTGAAAATTTTTTAAAAAATCTTCTTATAAGTTCAAGATCAGTAAAAAATCATCTTGTCTAGATATTTCTCATCCTTAATGTTGACAATTTAAAAAAAAATTAAGATTTTATCTTCAAATTTTCATTTAAATTTTAAATGAATTATTTGGATAAAATTTAAATCGCAAGTACAGTTAGAATTGCAACCGGCTTTTCGAAAATTTTATTTCTTCAACTCATGAATGAAAATCTTTCTCCTAATCATTAGATACAGAAACAAAATCAATTGTAATTTAATTCCAAATCCAAATTCAAAGCATCCAAATTAAAGAATCAGAGATTTTGTTTTAAATTGAGTTTTGAATTTCAAATATTTGATCAAGATGTTTATCCAGTCAAAAACTTTGAATCCAAATTGTAGTTGGCAAATAATCCACAATAAAATGAAAGCCTTGGTTTAACAAGGCTACTAGTAGATGTTTAAAATGAAATGGCGGGCTCGAGCCTAAAGGTTAATCCAGAATTGAACCTGATTGGTGGTCTCGGGGTCCTAAAAGCCTAATACTATGTGAGAACTTCTTTAATTGAGGCGAAGCTGGGATGGGCTCAAATTTCCCACACAGGCACTTCTTTTCTCCCCGTCACTTTTCTTTTGACTGAAGAGTGAATGAAGAGAGTGGGAGTAGTAGGTTAGAATTGAAAATACAGAAGGAAGCCATAGTCTTTTGGGTTGGAGCAAGTGAGCTGTGTGCGCCCTTGTCTTAGGACACATGTCCCATGCAGCTGTGCTCTTTGCATAATCACATTGAGTACTTCTTTTGTTATTCCAAGTTAAACCTTTTTATATATTATAGTTAAATTTAGTGATCATTAGCCAAATAAGTGTGATTTCAAACAATTTTGGGACAAAATTTTGACATTCTTAAAGAATTGCTTCTTATCTTTCAAATTAAATGTTCACTTTGTATTTTTTTTGGGAAATTTTTATAACTTATTTTTTATATATTTTAATTACTCATAAAATTATAATAAAATAAAAAAGTGATCAAATTAAATTGATTTTACTTGACTAAAAAAAGTAAAAAGGTGGACATACAATTTGAAACAGAGGGATATCAACAAAATCGCTCGAACATAATGTTCTTTTTCTACACTTATAAGTCTATTTTTTCGCTTTATTGAAAGCAAATTATGTTGGCAAAAGCATACACTGAACAAAAGGTTCCTTAGCACATGCATGTTGCTGAATTATATATACATCTCGGTTACTCGGCCATATGTGGAACAGTGGAAGGCAAGCAAGAAATCAGTAAGTAACAAAAATAATGCATGGGATAGAGGGCATTTCGGCTTAGCTGTTTTCATTGAAATCAAAGCGTAAGTTGTTTCAAAAACTGAACTATAGCTCGCGGGGAGCGAAGGTGAAAAGCTAGGCAGCCAAAACTGGAGTTGGAAGCAACTGCGAATCTCATGCTCAGGAAAGTGATGGTATATATACCATTAAAATAATATTCTTAGTAACTAAAAATTTAAATATAAAATAAATAAATAAACAGCAAAATAATGATGTGTCCCACAAAGTAGGGGATGCCCTGCAACCCAAGTTGGGACATTATTATCCGACAAACAAAATGGGTGATTCCTTAAAAAATTATATATGGCGTCGTGTTTATTTCCTAGGCTTTTTTTTTTCGTGTTCTCTACCCCAATTAAATATTATTTAATGTCAATGCTAATCCTAATTGAAGTATGGGGTACTTCTAATGATGATTAGTTAATAATTCATTTACATATATGTGACAGCAGATGATGATGTTTTTGGTCTAACTAAATAAAAATTCTCAATCAATTTCTTCTAATCCTCTGTTCTTTAATTTTTAGATTCAATTGAGATTAGAAGAAAAGCCAAAAGTCATGGGGGAAGAAATTTTAGACTCTATTTGATTTGTTCTTTTATTTTTTATTTTTTAATGAAAATAAAAATAAATTAAAAATAAAAGATAAATTATAAAAAGTAAAAATGCCCATTAAACAAAACCTTGATTTTTCAAATATAAAAAAAAAAAAGTAGAAAAGAAGAAAGAAACATTATTAAATTTAGGAAAAGGTAACCAAATAATTTTCGTTTGACTTAAGTATCAATGTCATCAAACTAATGATCGATTAACTAAAATTTTTTCAACCAATTGGTAGATGTCGGCAGGGATATTCCTTTGCTATGTAAACTTAATAGAATTAATTAATGACTCAAACAAATTAAAGTAGCTTTGATCAATGTTTTCCCTTTTTTCTTTTAAGATGAAACCCGTACTAAAAAATGATTAAAAAAAACGAATCAAACATAATTTATTAAACAATAATTTTATCAACCAACCAATCATGTTTAACCCAAAAACTAAAATTTTGACATGTCACACATCGAACAATTGAAAATCTTCTTATTGATGGATTTAAAATTTTATCTAAATGATTTGCTCATTTTTCATAAAAAATGAATTCTCAATAATATTAAAATTTGATACCTATCATTTGTAAACATCGCATTTCTCTTAAGTTTTCATCTTCTTTATAAAAAAAAAAAAAATCCAATGAACATGTGCCTATAAGTTATGATTAAGGATAAAGAAAAATCCATAGTTCATTTTCTATTTCTTTTAAGTTTTTTTTTTCAAATATGATGATCTTATATTTATGATGCAATATTGTTTATAGATACGCTTAACACATTAATATTTAATAAAATAGGTTGAACTTCTTAAGTCAGAGTTGCAGATGAGATTGAAATTTGAAGTTACTTTTGCCATGTGGAACCAAGAAAATGGTTGCTTATCTTATTATTTTGAATTTCAGAACACAAATTTGTTAGCGTTCAGATGATGATGATGCTGACACATGGGATTTGATGAAATGATTTGATATATCAAAATGGGCAGGTATTTATCTGATGTATTAATTGCTCTTCGACAAATTATGAAAGAGGCCTATATACAATAGATGTTGAAATTAAGAGGAACAACAGTTAATTCAAGAGAGATTTTGAGTTGAATTTTCAATTTCATTTTAAAAAAATTTTAAATTTTCATAATATATATATTCATTATTAAATCAAATATTTAAATGCGACAATGTTCAACTTTTATATATAAAAAAAAAACTTTTAAAAGAATATTGTGTTAATTATGAATTATTAAATAAAATGTTTGGATCTGATTATCTTTAACTTTTATAAACAAAACCGTTTAGGAGAATATTGTGTTACCAATTCATAGTTTGTTTCAATTGTTTCTTCTTCTGAAAGAAAATTTTCTGTTATTCCAACAAAAAAAAAAAAAATACACTGAAAAGTGTTATAGGTAGAAGAATTTTGTTGAATGTCCAAATGAAAATACAGAGCTGAAGCGAGTGGGTTTTATTTTTACTATCTCTCAAGATTCTGTCTGATAAATTGAATAAATTTATCAATAAAAGATATGTATTAAAATTTTAATTTTAAAAATTTTAAGTACTGAATTTATGATATAAAAAGTTGTTCTTACGCTACTGAAATTAAATGTTAAGTAAAATTTTTATTAATCTTTTATAAAAAAAATTATATATGATTTTATAATTATTTTTAATTATTAAAAGTTAAAAAGGAAAGAATAAATTATTAATGTTAAAATGAAAGAATATGGAATTAATGTAATTAGGTAACATTTTTTTCCTTAAATAAAATTAACTTGATACATTAAATAGTTAAAATAAAAGTCACTTAGCATTTTCAACATTTTTTCATTAAAAATCTTCAATTAAGTAAATTTTAAATAATATACGAAACACATTAAAAATATATAATTTAAAATGTTCAATGATTTATTAATTACACCGAAAGTAAACAAGAATTCATATTCATTTTACTAACATTGGGCGAGCTTAAGACAACATTCAAAAGCCCTCAATTTAATATTATGTTTTTTCAATAATTAGTTGATGTAGAGAGAATAAGGTTAAAATTATTACTTTTATATATAATGAAAGAATTTTAGAATTTCATAAGTAATGTTAAAAGATTTAATGTATGTACATTTAGTAATTAATTAATTTTTATAAATATACCTAATATATAAAACTAATAAATTTTTTAATTTCTTTCGATGTTTGGTGGAACTTAAAAACTCTTATCGATTATGACAATGGGATATAATTTACTTCTCGCTTGGAAGGAGGGTTTTAAGAAGATGATTTGTGAGTTAGATGCCAAAATTTTTTATTGACTTGATTAATTCTATTGATATTGCAGTGTCCATTAGTCATGTATTAAGGGAGGGGAATTTTTGTGCCACGGTTAATCTAAGTGTGGTGGATTGAATTTGGGCCGAGACCTCCATAATATGTAATATAAAGAATGGGCCTGGATAAGTCAAAAAAAAAAAACGAAAAACTAAGAAACGAAAGGTGTGGCCGGGGATGGAGTTTCATAGCATACAGTAAAAATATAGACGCCCTGTGGGGCTCGAACGCACGATCACAAGATTAAGAGCCTTCCGCAATGAATTAATGTTGGTTTTATTTTCAAGGTTGGAAATGCGTTTTAGTCCATCCATTGTGAAGCGGTTCTATATGTTGCCCTTCCATGTCCTATTTCTAGAAGTTTATAAAAAACCAGAGAAAGCCCACTTCCCTTGGAGTTATCCATGGCCGAGTCCAGACACCCAAACGTTGACAAAAAAATCCATCAAAGATCCGGCGCATCTCTTCCTCTCCTTTAATTCATTGTCATTTTTTCTTTAAATTTCAGGTATTGCAAAACCCACGTCGCCTTGACAGTCTCTTCTTCTATCTTCGAAAGCTATCCGCTTTCTTCTCAGGAAAGAAAAAAGGCCTCTTCAATTACTACGAAGATAGTGAAACGATCAAAAAAAAAAAAAAACCATGACGACAGTTATACTGGTAATTTCGGACCCGCGTTTTGCTTGTTCAGACTCTTCAATAGAAATTCGGCGCATTTCTTGTTCAGACCCTTCACTATTCCCATCTTCAGAAGAAGTTTAACCGCTAAAGTTCGCGTTTCTTCTACTGCCTTTGTTGAAACTAAGCCTATGGTATGCAACAAGAAAACCCGGATAATTGGGTTAATGGTTCTGACTTTTTTTTTTCAATTTTAATGGTATAATTTGATTTCGAAGTTATTTGTTTTATTGTTCTTTCTTAGAATTTTTAACTTCGTAAACGTTTTGTATGTTTTAGGAATCTGTAGAGGTGGAGAAAGAGGACAGTGGCGGTGAAAGCGGTTTAGCTTGTCCCATTTGTTATGAACCATTAACCAGGATCGGTGACTCCCCTTTATGCGTGTGAGTTCATATTGTTGTTTTTTCAAATGATACGTTTTTCAATTTCAACTTGTGTTTGTATTGATTTGAATTTTGGAATGGAACAGAGGATCGACAGCTGGGTCTAATTTGCAGTGTAACACTTGCAACAAGACTTATTTTGGTAACGAAACGCATCTTGACCTCGTTGCCTCAAGTGGGTGCAAGCAGCATGATGAATCTATGCCGCTGACTACTGAACTGTTCAGGTCTGTCCCTGTTATTCCTTTTTTTACTTTTATAGTTTTGGATAGTGTTGTAAACATTTGCATTTGAGAGTTGAAATTAAATGGAAATATCTGCAGGTCATAGGAGATTGAAAATAAGAGTTTTACTAGTTTCACAAAAAGGTCATAGGAGATAGAAAATTAATCGAGTGAGTCTTTGTTGTGGCACATGATTTCTCTCCTTTGTCTCCTTTATTTTCTATTTCCTTTCTCTAATTATAGAAATTGTAAATAAGTAGGCTGTACTGACTCTGCCAACCACATCTTCTGTCAATGAAAGGGTTGTTTTGCTATCTCAAAAAGGTCACGGATCTGTTGTTTAACTAGTACACCATTGACCATTTCGCATGTTGCTCTCACTACTTATGCCCTCATTTAATTAGTATATGTGCTTGATGCTATGTCCTAGGATTGTTTTGCTTTTATCTTACTTGCAGCCTGTTGGTCATTTCTTAACCAGGACTCCTGTGGTATCGTTTCTCTATGAGAGGGGATGGCGTCAAAGTTTTCTATTTGGTGGCTTTCCAGGTCCAGAGAAAGAGGTAATATGAGATGACAACTTCTATAATCTTGTTCATTAGGAAGGGACTATGAAGTGTTTAATCAGCTTATATCATAGGTTAGCTTTATGTTTTGTGAAGCATCAACCTGAGATCCTAAAAGGTTGACACTTGCAGTGTTTATCTTAATCATGCGTGGGTGTCCCTTGGAAGTGATATCTGTTCATCTGCCATGTATATTAAACGAAAACTCTTAGAAAATAACAATATTTGAAATGCTAACAAATATAAAATATCAATGTGTAATCATCCTACAATTTGTGCAATTGATTTGGCATGATATGCATGGAATAGTTTTCTCAATTCATGTCATTGTTGTTTCATTCTTTCATTAGTGCTAGAGTCACTAAGTAACTAATGATTTACATTGCAGTTTGATATGGCTAAGAATTACCTAAAGCCAGTGCTAGGTGGAAACATTGTTGATGCTAGTTGTGGTAGTGGGTTGTTCTCCAGACTTTTTGCCAAGAGTGGATTATTTTCACTGGTTGTTGCTCTGGACTTCTCAGATAACATGCTGCGACAATGCTATGAATTCATCGAGAAGGAGGAAAACTTCCCCAAAGAGTATAAAAGTTCACCTTTAGATTAAGCTCATTTGACTTTAAATATTTTTAATTTTAAATTTGAGATGTTACCTCTGACTTATTTATTTATTTCAAAGGAAAGTGACCTTGGTCAGAGCTGATATCTCTAGACTTCCTTTTAAGTCAAGTTCAGTTGATGCTGTGCATGCTGGTGCTGCTTTGCACTGTTGGCCTTCACCATCAACAGCTGTAAGCAGTTCTTTTAAATGTGGTGATTAATCATTACAGTTGCTTGTTGTCCCTAATATTACTGGCATAGAAGGGCTTACGATATAGGTTGATACTCAAAGGTGAAATCTTAAGGCTCATTTCTTAAAATGATGGCAGCAAGGCTGGAAAACTTTCATAACTTAACTCTTGTATGTTTTGTTGAAATGAGTGTTTTATGCCAACAGTACACTTTGTGGAGTAGAAAATAGAGTTCACCAGGAAACTGGAAGTGTTGACATTAATCTATGTTGAAATAAATATTTTCTGTATTTTGGAGAAATCTCTAGTAAGGATATTATCCCCCTAAGCTGGTAATGTCCTCCAGACTAAATACTTATTCCAATAAGAATTAAGGTCATTGAACAAATTTGAAAAGAGCAAAATTGTTTCCGGCAAATATAGCTTCTGAAGAAAAATAAAATGTGTTAAACTTGGCATTAATAACATATATTATAGAATCAGCTTTCCAAAATGTATGGATTTGCACAAGAATCTGAGACGCTGTTTTTGTATTCCTACTGCATCTAATGCTTACTTGGTGGCATGAGATCATGCTCTTTGTTTCTTGAGCTTTTACCTTTTATAGCCTATGTTTTAAATGATTCTATGTTTTAAATGATTTTGAAATGGTTTACCTAGGTGGCTGAAATAAGTCGAGTTCTTCGACCTGGAGGTGTTTTTGTTGCTACAACCTACATACTTGATGGGCCTTTTGCGTTTGTGCCATTTTTGAGGACTTTCCGCCAGGTATGGTAATTATTTCAGCTTTGCTAAATGCATTAACCACTTCACAAGTTTAGACTGGAGTTCATTATGCACTATACCAAAGCCGAATTTGGCACTTGATTTTGTTTTTTGAATAATGAGAATTGAATTTGTCATGTTTTTCATTATTTGCCCAGTGTTATTGAATTTACTGAAGAAGCTTTATCTAAACCTTTCTTGCATCAGGAAAATTGGTTATTCTTTTGATTGCTGATGTTGGTTTATTTTTCTGTGTAGAATATAATGGGAATCGCAGGCAGCCATATCTTCCTTTCTGAACGTGAACTTGAAGATCTCTGCAGAACTTGTGGGCTAGTTGGTTTTACATGTATAAGAAATAGACTTTTTGTGATGATATCAGCTAGAAAGCCCAGCTAACGAGCCATCTTCCTAATTACAGTTACACAATATATTGTAGTTTCAATAATTTTACAAAGCCAAATTTGTAAAGCTATAGAGTGTCTCTTTTCCAAGTTTATGTTTCTCATGTTTCAGTTCTTTGGTTTATATAGATGATTTTTAATTTGTAAGGGACTTGTACCGTTCACAAACATGCAAAACAAATGGAAAGCAAAAAGGTATAGCGTTGTTTCATTGATGCTTATCCGAATGTGATCAAATTTGACTGTTCAGATGTTGCCATATCAAATAAAAATGTAGCTCTTCAATGTGTGTGCCTTTGAATTTGTAACTCTTAGTTGCATTTGGCGGTAAAGGACAGTCTTCTCATCATTTTCATAGGGATCAAGGTCAACCTCGCCTTCGTAATCCACTTCAATAACGCTTGTCTGTAACATATGTTTTTTTTTTTATTCAAATGATTGAGTTTGAGAATGATCTCCACGTTCAGGCATAGTATCTGACAATGGCTGTTGCATATCTTATTCTGTTAGTGCTTTAGTCATTTGTGCTCGCTCTCTATCCCTTGGGTAGGTGAAGTAGAGGAAAGAATAGATGAAACAACGGAGAGCCATTGCAATTCCTATTGCTATGTAAAGTGCTTTTGCCAATGATCTAGAGGAAAAAAATAGATGAAACAACAGAGCCTCAGCTTCATTTTTTTTTGGCTTTTCATGTCTTTTATATATGTGAACTACCAATGCTATGATCTAGACTCTTCATTCCATGATTCAATATTTGATGGGACATTTTGGAATACATTTACTTTTGTCCACCTCCAAAATTGAGATTGATAGAGGACTCGTATAAATGACTTAGACCCACATATTTTATACACAATGATTTGGTTCTCCTTTCCTGATTTTCTTACTTCAGTAAGACTCCAGCCTGTACCATGAACTTGTCTGTTCTAATTTAGCTCTATCGAAATGCTAAATATGTAACAACTTATGACTTAAACTGGTTTGATAAATGCAGCTTTTTTAATATGTACAATGTAATTTCATCTAACAAATAATATTAAAAAAATGAAGGGTGGGGGGTGGGGAGTTTGAGAAACTTGTTTGTAGCCGGACATTCCAGGAAATGCGGAAAGCTACAATGATTAAGACCAATCCATGCATTACACCTGTGGACAGATCATCAGGTAAAACAAGAAAGATATTACTGCTAGAGCGATGGCTGATGCTGAGCTTATCTGGGCCAGAATGATCCTTCCGGAATCTGGCAGACGTGCGGAAAGCAAATCCCCCATCCTACCTCCAAATAGGCCCCCCACAGAAGTAGCAATGACAAACATGACTATCAAGAATGCGGTTTTCTTGTGGGAGAATCCAAGTAACTCCAACCCCATTGGTGCAAATGACTAACCAGTAAGACCCTGAGCCACAATAATTTGGAATGTTGGAATCTTTGTAACTGTTTTAGCTTCCTGAACTAGGTGCTTCACTTCAGGCCATAAGGATCTATTTGAAATTTGATTGCTAGATTATTTTGTACCACAATCTGAATTTGGATCATAGGCAATGAGATTGGACAAATGGAGGCTGTGTGGGCTACGTGTAACACACAGGCAAAATAGTGGACTTTGTTGGAGATCAGCTAAATTTAATCTGGAAATTTATTTTCTTTTTTGGTAAAGCATCTGGGAAAATTGAAGTACTGTACGGTAATGATAATTGAGGTTCCAGGATCAAGATATCGTGCTTTTTGGCTTTTTTTTTTTTTTAGTACAGGGGGTGGAAGAGGCTCATAACCTGGACCTCATGCCCCCCGTAGGCTCCCCTCGGCCACTAGGCCAGGGGGCGGGGGACATCGGGGCTGTTGGGTTTAATTGCCTCTTTTCTATATAACCACAGCATAGACAGATTACAGGGACCTGAGCTCGGATGTGGCTTACTTTGGCCACAGAGTGAATTACAAATGGCAACTCAGGGTGAGGAGTGCTACGCATGGGCAATGAAGGGAAAAAGATGGGGTTAAGTTTGGCTGTCGCTGTCATGCTCCAATAAATCAATAGAGGAAAATGTCACCCAGAATTATAGTAAAATATTAAATATATTATATAAATTTTAAAATTTTTAATATAATATTTAAATTATAAATATATTAATTAATTTGATAATTTAAAAAATTAAATTATTTGTTAATATTATTGTTTAGACTTAATCAAATTAAAGATATCATATTAATTAATAAATTTATAATATAAAAATCATATTAAAAATTTAAGTAAATAACATATGTGGTTTCTAAATTTTTTATCAAATTTTATTTTGATTTTTAAATTTTAAAATATTCTAATCAAATCTTTAATTATTTAAATATATATTAATATAATTTTTTCGTCTGCTGAACCGTCTAAATTAATAAAAAAATCTCATTCGACACAACACGTAATCTTTAAAATTTTCAATATATGAAATTTTAAAGTTTTGTAATTAAAAAACATGGAATTAAAAACAAAAAAAAATTAAATCAAAACATAACACAATAAAAAACAAAATATTAAACTGACTCAATAAGGATTTGTTTCTCACTAATCTGTTGAGTACATGTAAATTAACTCAACACATATATTAGTTCGTAAAAGAATTTAACACAAATTCGTATCAATCTATTGCTAATGTATATATTTACTGATAAAAATATTATAAATTAAGATAACTCCAAATTCTTGATAGGATTCAATTTTTTTAATGCAAAAACAAAGATAAATTATCTAAGTTTCCTATAATTATACATAACAAGAAACTTCATTTTTATCGATAATAATAAGAGCTTATAAAATTCTAACACAAGACACCACAAAATAGGAACCAAAAAACTATTTTTACCATCTTGAATATCAACCAATGCCATTAAACCATCAACCAATCTAAAACAAATGAAAATGATTTCATCAATTTCTTTTCTCTCAATTTCTTCTTGTTTTCTTCTTTTTAATTTTAGAAGGAACAGAGAAAAAGATAGAAAGCGAGGTTGCTAAAATCTCGATTAGAGAAGGATTAGATTAGCCTTAAAAATATTGAATTTGATCCCATGCATTTCATTCGATAAAGGTAAAGCTATTGTTGAACTTCAACTTTCGATAAAGGTAGTGGGAGGGCCATATGCTACCCTTTCAAATGGTTCTATCTCTTGGCCATTGGAGGAAAAAAGGGAGCAAGAAGAAGGAAGGAAAAAGAAAGTAATAAACAAAAACAAAAATAAAATAATAACAAAGTATTGGTTTAGCTTTTTTTTTGTTTTTAATTTCATATTTTTTAATTACACATATTTAAGTTAACTTTGAAATTTCATATATTTAAAATTTTAAAGGTTACTTGTTATGTTACATAAGATTGTTTTGTTAATTTATATTATCCAGTAAACAAAAGGATTATATTAATATACATTTTGATAATTGATGACTTGATTATAACTTTTTAAAATTAAAAAATTAAAATAAAAGTTGGTCCAAAATTTAAGAGTTACATACGCTATTTGCTCTAAAAAATTTTAAAATTTAAATATCATATTAAATATTTTATTATATTTTAACCATAACATTAGCCCACTAAATTTACTTTCCTCGTGTAGCTTCACTCTAATGTAGGGGAATAGAGACGTTACCGTTCCCTACAAAAAGAAAAAAAGAAAATCGTGGGTGATTAATATCATGAATCATTTCAAATAGTACAATGCCAACCACCCAAACAATTGAGCCAGGCTTAAAGTCCATTGTAGAATATAGTTTCAGGCTAGCAAGGGAAGATGGGTTAAAGCCACTATAATCAAAACTTGGCCCATTTTTATTTGGTTCAATGAAACTTTAAGAATAGTACTAGGTATAAAGAAATTTTTGCCTATGAATTTTCGGCTCATATGAATTCTACAAAATACAATGATTATTTTTGTTTGGTAAAAGAATTAAGGGTGGGGGGATGAATACAATGATTCATTTTGTCATGCCATGTTCCCCCTATCTTTTAAAAGAAAATGGTGATTTTGAATTGACGTGAAAGTATTAAATTAAAAACAGTGGAATGTGAATTAGAGTCTAATTTATAAGCCAACAAATAATTTATTTACAATTAATCACTACTTAACAGATGAAGAAAATGAGCTATATTAAAAATACCTTTGAATTGCCAAATGAACCAGATAGAATGGTGTGGCCCTATAAAGAAGATGGGATGTATTTTGAAAAAAATGGCTATAGGGTATTAAGAAAGAAAATGGTGCTACTTGGTTTGAAACAACCTTCATGTTCATTTTTTGTTGATAGATGGTATGTAAACTAGAAGAAAGAGAATTGAAGTTTAACTATGATGGTGCATATTGTCAGTAAATAAATAAGTTCGATATTGGAGTGGTGGTTAGGAACTGCTATGATGAACTGGTGGATGGTGTTAGGAAAATGGTGAAGGCTGATTCTGTTAGGCTAAAAAGTCCCAATCCAATTAAGTCAGTGAAAGCATAATCAAACAATCAATCAAACATACAAGAAATAATAATTTAACGTGGTTCGATCCAATCGACCAACGTCCACAGATGCGAAACAAGATTTACTAGTTGTAGAAAATTACAAACATATAAATCAAATCATCAATCTCTTAACAATCAATACCCATGACCCTCTCAATTTCTTCTAGTCCTATGAAGTATTTTCAATCCAAACAAACACATACCCATGTACACTTTTTTAACACAACCAAATACATACCTATATGCACCCATACATCATATCTATGTGGACCTTTTCAATTTTTTCTAGTCTATTCACAAACAAACATACATACCTATAAGACATAAATTCTCAATACTCCTATGGGGTGTCTATCCCATAAAACCCTATAACTCTCTTACATATTTTTTTCATACCTAATTCTGTAGAGACTTCATATATTTATAACTATACAAACTTACCTATTAAGAATCTTTTTTCTTTTAGAATTCTTCTTCTGCAAGTCAAACTTGCCCATCAAGTAATATCTAACAAATTTCAAACAAATCTCTAACAAATCTTAAACAGATCTCTTATGAAATTTGAGTCATTATTCCTAACAATCTCCAACTTGACTCAAATTTAATCAATAATTTATTTTCATGTTAGATATGTTTGGCACCACCTACAATAGAAGTCTCACAATCATTTTTTTATGTGCCTTTACACTTGATACAAACGATTTTCAATTCTCAAAACTTAAACTCAAATTTTTTTTTTGAATCGAGCTCCTCAAGGCTTACCTCTTTTCATGTCTTGAACTTTCAGATCACCACAGCTTTGATACCACTTATTAGGCTAAAAAGCCTCAATCTAATCAAGTTAACAAAAGCATAATCAAACAATCAATCAAACACACAATAGATAATAATCTAACGTAGTTCGATCC